AATACAGGATTGCGCTTGGCACAGGGTCCGGCAAACACAGGTTTTACCATACCAACATTTTTCTTTCAACGACAAAAGCACAACACAACTGAATGCCAGTACTTACTCATGGGCGACTCCGATGGGAAGCCTGGAATTGACAGAGAATGGGATGGGAAAAGAGAAGAAGCAGCCTGGGACGGGAATGGTGCAAGCGGTGATCTTGGTGGAGGTGGCTCTGATGCTGGCTGTATTTCTTCAACACTCAACTGCAGCATAGACAACATAACCATCACCAGCATCATTCTAATCACACAACAGCTAGGGCAGGAGACACAATGGAGAGAGGGAATCCCGCAGATACACATCGCGACCGCTCACCGACTTCAAACACACACTGGCCAGTGTCAATAGCTAGCGTCTGACACGCGGTAATGATGAGATCAGCACAAGTCACATGTCAAATACCATGATACGATGTACATTGCCGTGGTTAGCTGTAGCGGTCTAACCCCGAAAAGCCGATTTGTTGTGACTCATGTATTCGTATCAGCATGTCAAGTAGTCAAGTAGTCAAAATAGCATGGGTGGTTGAGCAGTAGTCAGAGTGCATGCGCGGCTTACCTTGTCACCATGCTTCAACTGTACTGGCTCACCATCCACTAGCTGCAGTTCGCGTGGCGGAAAGCCAACACGCAGCCGTTGACGCTCTACAGGCACATCAAACTGCGTGGCAATTGTTGACTGCAAGTTTTCCGGCATGACTGGTGGTACAAACTCAAGGTTAGCCGATTTCCCACCAGGCATCATGCACACACGCACTCTGATTGACGACGGCGAGGCGCTTGCTGCAGCTGCTCCAGTCGTTGTTGCTGTTGTTGTTGTTGTTGTTGTGGCTGCTGAAGTGTCCATGGGTTGGGGTGAGTTGCAACCAGCAGACGCTGAAGCTGCTCGCTTGGCTGGACGCTGTAGATGCAAAGACAGGTGGGAAAGGCACAGCTGAAGAAGTTTGGCCTTGTCTAACAGACTTCTTTCTGTGTGTGAGCTAGATTGCCAATCTTACCAACTATATCGCAATAGCCTGGACCTGTTTATAACCATATGGCAAACTCTCTCTGGCCATAATGGTGCGGGGTCTCATTTCGGAAAGCAGTCATATTTTAGAAGTTTCGTGGCAAGTAGGAGCTCACAAATTTTTCAGACTCCTTACCGAATGGAAAAGCCACGCTGAGCACGATGGTGAAATCGTTTTTTCTCTAGCATTCTCCGTTCCAGAGATATCAGTGCATGTACATGTAGGTTGAATTTTCGAGCACCTCAAACAAAACGCACTAAGTGCGCAAAGTGCACAATGTGTCCACGTGGGCGAAAAGAAGAAAACGACGATGTCGTGCGCATCTCTTTCATTTCTTTTATTTGTTGCAAAGAAGAGTGTGACACATTGTGGAGTGTTGAAACTAGAGTGGAAGCGGACGTTGTTTTTTTAATACTTTTACTCGGCAGACAAACATAGTGTTGAAGTACTGTATCAATGCTGAGTTGTTCGGCAGTATGTCAGCGGATTCGGCAGAAAGCTCTGATTCAAAGCGGAAAGCTGAGTGTGCAGCCAAAGATCCACCGAAAATGAAGCATGTCAAGAAGCCTTTGACGTTTGAAGAGAAACTTGCTCTAGAGTGTTCTGTACCCGAATCAGGCAGGCAGACCCGAAGCGCAACAGGCACGACTGATCCGAGCAAGTGTGTGGTGTAAAAAAAAATAATAATAATAATAATCGACGGGTTCGCGTACCGGGCAGGTCAAGAACAAGTGTGTGGTGTGCCAGGATTATAAACCTGACGTGCAAAACAGGCGCTTGGCAGAGAAATTGACTCAGCGTGCCACATATGAGGCAGAGTGTAGTCTGCTCGATGCTGCTCGTACACGCAGCAAAGCTAGAATTATTAGCGAACTTGAAAAATCAGGAAGGTATAGCGAATGAGATCAAGTATCACCGTAGCTGTTTTTCTTTGTACGTAAACAAGAAGTCTCTGAAACGTCTTGCTAATGATGCAGTGGATTCTGATAGAACTTCGCATTGCTGTCAGCATTGCAGGCCGAGCTCTGCGCCAGCCTTACATCACCAACTGCAAAGTTCTGGAATACCTACACAGTCATCAAGGCCGTCACAGCCGGGGCAGCTGAGGCCGCCCCACTTTTTTGGCCGTTTTTTGGAGCACACTGGAACAAAGCGCGGTGATCGCAGCTCAGCGCAAACATGGCAAATCCTTGTCCCCCGATCGTGGTTTGTTGCAGAATCAAAAAGTCTTTCATTGCAGATACACTGAAATGGCACCAAATGCCTGGAAATGCTTGCAATTGGCTTCAATTTTTGAAATTTTTTCCCAGGGGAGGGTAATGTTTGTCCCTGATCGTAGCATCTTCTTGGTTTCAACGGTTGCAGAATCAAAAAGTCTTTCATTGTAGTTACACTGGAATGGCACCAAATGCCCGGAAATGCTTGCAATTGGCTTCAAACAAATTGAATTTTTTCCCAGGGGACAACCCCCAGACCCCCTTCTATGGCCGCCCCACCCCCAAAGTCGGTGCGACGGGCCTGGACATGGTGAGCCTGCTATTGCTATTCATCGAAACAAGCAGAGAAGGAAACTGGCCAGTCCACTTTGTATTCTAATTGCTGCTGCGCATGAGTACATGACACAGCCAATGTACTTTTCATCTTGTAGCACCAACACTAAATTTTGTATCAGGGACTGAGCACCACATTACACAACTCAAAGTTTGACAGCCATGCAGACTCGCATGAAAATCAATTTCATTGTATTTGAACAGTTGCTCGCACTGACCTTGCAAGTCCACCTGAATTTTACTTCTTGCTTTGTATTTGTTGAGTCACCTCCACCATTAAACTGCGCTCTTTAGCCGACTAGACCCTCCTGCACACAACCATCACCATTGCGAGGACACTTCCGTAGACGATATTGATAAACTCCTTCAGACAGCTGTTTCGCTAATACATAGCTCATCAGTGAATGTAGATGTTGAATGATTAAAAATATAGACCAAACTGCTATTATATAGGGGGTTTCCACATACAAAACTGGCATAGCTGAGGTGATAACGCGGGAAAAAGAAAAGTGTGAAGTACTGTTGACGCGCATTGGACATGCATGCAGCGTCGGAAATTCGGCGCGGAAAATCAATCACTACTCAATGCAGAAATAACGTGCCAGAATCAGAGTACTATGTAGCTAGTGAGAGTCTAGTGAGAGTCTGTGCACTAGTATTGCAGACTCTCACTAGACTCTCACTAGACTCTCACTAGACTCTCACTAGCTACATAGTACTCTGATTCTGGCACGTTATTTCTGCATTGAATAGTGATTGATTTTCCGCGCCGAATTTCCGACGCTGCATGCATGTCCAATGCGCGTCAACAGTACTTCACACTTTTCTTTTTCCCGCGTTATCACCTCAGCTATGCCAGTTTTGTATGTGGAAACCCCTTATATAATAGCAGTTTGGTCTATATTTTTAATCATTCAACATCTACCTTCACTGATGAGCTATGTATTAGCGAAACAGCTGTCTGAAGGAGTTTATCAATATCGTCTACGGAAGTGCCCTCGCAATGGTGATGGTTGTGTGCAGGAGGGTCTAGTCGGCTAAAGAGCGCAGTTTAATGGTGGAGGTGACTCAACATTTTCTTCAATGGCCGAGAGCTCTGTCGCACCCTGCTTTGTATTTTTTCAATGAATTCAGCTGAGATGTTTTATTACCACCAGGGAGTCGTACCCTCCCTGACTGCCACCAACTGGAGTCCAAAACGGACTCTGTATGCAGAAACCCACTATATTCTAGAATGACTGGGTTTGAGTACATGTACAATTTCCGCATGCAGCGGAAGATCGCAATATCTAACAAGCGGACAACTGTGCAGACTCGCCGACACTTTTATCATCTTCAGCAGCCACAACTTAGTCAGAAACAGCTCTAAAAAAGTGTGAGCTCCTACTGGTTACGAGTTGCTAGAAAAAAACACCTTTGACTGTAGACTATAAAGGTAGCTAAAGAGAATGGAACCCATTCCAGTAGCACAGAAACTTTCTCTGGCTATAAAGGTAGCTAAAGAGAAGGGAACCCACCTCAGTAGCAAAGAAACTCACCTCACTTCCTCCTTTCTGAGCGGACGACTTTCGTCTTTGACTACTCGCATTGTCTGTGATACTTTGGCGCAGCTGCTTCTCTTTGTCCGACACACCGAGTTCTTCCTTGTGCAGCGTGGTCTTGCTATGACCCACAAAGATAGTTTTCATGGGACCCATCGCTGCGGTGATCAGAAAAGAACAAATGTGCACAAAGGAGCAGTCTATCAGACGGCATCTTGAATGCAATGGAAAAACAGGAAACTCACTTTCACTGGGTAAAGCGGCCCTTTGTACATCTAACTTACATTAGCTTATCTTTCACTCAGAAAACAAGACTACATCATCAACATACCGGTACTGCTCTGTTAAAGGGGAAGTACCGGTATACCCTAACATCCAATGTTTACCAGTTGTCGTCTTCGGGGTGCTGAGTCAAATGGTCTTGGTCCGAGGCAGCTGAGACGCTCCCCTCCTTCTTTATTCCCAATTGAACTTGCACACTTCCACCGAAACTAGGTGACTGCGCCTTACTAGATGAAGATTTGTGTGCAAATGTCACTAAAAGTGCCGTTTCGTTCTTATAAAAGCACAGATGACCGCGATTGGTCCATATGTGGTAGTCTTTTGGATGTTGAGTCGACTGGTTTTGGTCCGAAAAGGCTACGATGCAGCGTTCAGCCCTTATTCCCAATCGAACATGGGTGACTAAGTGGTCACGTGCTCATGCGTACACCAGTTGCCTGGTCACCGTGTCTGCAGGCTTCAACTTTCACACCAAGGTTCAACTCAATGGCTCAAAGGTTCAACTCGAGTGACAGAAACGCTGTAAAAGTTGCAGCTTGCAGGTACGGTGACCAGGTGACTGGTATACGCATGAGCACGTGACCGCTTACTCACCCGTGTTCAATTAGGAATAAGGGCCGAACGCTGCATCGCAGCCTTTTTTGGACCAAAACCAGTCGACTCAGTGTCCAAAAGACTATAATATTATTAACATATGGACCAATCGCGGTCATCCGTGCTTTTATAAGAAAGAAATGGCACTTTTAGTGACTTTTTGCATACAAATCCCCAACTAGTAGGGCGCATACACTCAGTTTCGGTGGAAGCGCGTGAGTTCGATTGGGAATAAAGGAGGAAGGGAGCGGCTCAGCTTCCTCGGACCAAGACCATTCGACTCAGCACCCCGAAGACTACAACCGGTGAACATTTGATTTTCGGGTATACTTCCCCTTTAAAGAAAGTTAGATGTGTACTTTGGATGCCGTTTAGCGGTGGGTCTGATCTAATCATCTCCCACTGCTTAGAAGCTGCATCTGCGCCTATATCATAGAGAACGGCGGCGTCCCTGTGTACTAATATGCGGAAACACTCGTCTAACTTTTAAAATTAGCCTCACGCGAACCGTGAATTATTCGAATGCTCATGTTGGACCGGGTGCACACTATAGACTTTTTTAAATAGTAGAAAATGTTATCGTAAGACAGAACATTGATTTAATTACACGGCAGATCAGGAGTTGAGAATGTTGAATTTAGTATCACAGCTCGGCCTATAAATAACAGACACATGCAACCTTAATCACACATGCACACACAGCAACAGAAAGAGAAGAGAAGAGAAAGGACACACAAGCACCAGCCTCACATTGCAAAGGATCTACGGTGGGCGCTGGTGGGTCTTGTTCCATTTGCTGCACTTTGGTACGCTTCTCATTTGACTCAACCTTGCGGAAGATTTGCTGGACAACACGTTCCATCAAACGGGTAGAGCCAAAATCAGCAGGGAAGTGCTTGTTCACCAACTCTGATGCAATCTAGAACAAAATATAGATGAAAGAAGACGGACAAGGTATAGGGGTAAGTTTCTTTACGACAAATCAACATCCATCTACGAAAGAGGGTGGGGGGGGGGGGGAGGGAGACAGAGAGATAAAAAGACAGAAAGAGAGAGAGAAAGAGAGAGAGATAGAGAGAGAGAGAGAGAGAGTTAATCATGCTATTTTAATAACTTTTGCACAGCAATAGCACAATCAGCATAGAGCATGTCCTCACACACCTTGTAAGCATTGGAATTGTACTCTGGGTCACTTTCATTGTCAAACCAGTCGACCATGACTGGGATGCGTGTATCATTCCAATCTAGAACCACCTCAAACCTGACAAGCAGAAAAGTAGAAAGAGAAAAAAGGCAAGTCAAGCAAACACTCCTCCTCACAACACACACACACACACACACATTACGGTACCCATCCACTTCCAGAAACTTTGCCGGTAAAGAAGCCCACGCCGTTTACATTTCAAAATGTGCCAAAGTATATGAGCATATGCTATTTGTATAAACATTGCAGGATAGAACAAGTTGACAAGAGTTGCAGAAACTGTATACAACTTAAGGTCGGAATAACACTGCAGTTGTATTCTTACCGGTAAGGGAAATTCTCATACTCATGTCCGGCAAAGAAGTGCTTGTAGCCACACGGACAGTTCGACTTGGGCCACTCAGTCAGTGTACGGTCGCCATACTTATACTGCACACTGCCATCGGCATCAGTGGCGCGCATTAACGCTGACTGGCCACACGATGAGCATCCAGCGGAGGATGTCCGGGCCACGAGAGTAAAGCGTTCCCTTGCTGACTCATAGCGGGCGTTCACATTCAGGGACGGGAATGAATACGTCTTCCCGTCGCGGAGTATGATGCTGCAATACACACGCACACACATGCACACGCATACACACAGTTTAGCTGTACTCTGCATAGTATAATTATTATTACAATAGCGAGACCTTACGATAGTAAATATTAGAATAACTAGACCGTTGGTCAGGGAAGTACTACACTGCACCTCACCGGCACAGTTTACCCGTATGTGGCACCTACACACCCACTGTTACCCACTGTGGACCTGTTGTGTCTGGTTTCCCATCCTTCTGCAGGCATGTGCAGTTGTGCACTCTGATAGAAAACAATAAATTCAGAGGGCTCCTCGGTTTGTTGACGATCAAAGCAGAGCAGGAGAACACCCGCTCTGCTAGCATACACAAGACTTGTCATACACATTATACTTCAAGCAGCACAGTATACGCATGATTGTCCGCACGGATAAGACTGTGCATGCAACGTGTACCAAATAGCCATACCCTTTGTATGCCCGTGCTAAATCAGTAAATGGCTACATTTACGAATGCCCCCCCCCCCCCCCCCCCCCCCTCACACACACACACACATCAGGCCAAGTCTAAGACTTACTCGTCCTTCGCTATCAGCTTATGCAGCATACCACCGGGGCGGCGATCAGCTTCTGACAGATCCGGCAAGGCCGGGTCCACCGTGAGTGCCCTACACGAGGTGCAGGTTCGCAGGCGATTCTCCTGTGCCGCCTGACGCACAGTATCGATGGCGTCTGAAGCTTCAATGTGCACTGCACCGTGGGCCCGAAACGCATAATGATACACATCAGCTACCAGCGCTGATGACACCTGAAACAGAGAACACATGCACACACAAACACACACACATACACACGCAAACACACATGCAAGTACACGCACATGCATGCAAGCACACACACAGACACACACACACACACACACACGGGCACACACACAGACACACACACGGACACACACACGGACACACACACACGGACACACACACGGACACACACACACACGGACACACACACACGGACACACACACACGGACACACACACACGGACACACACACACACAGTACTGTAACTTGCATACTGTAGAAACCTGCTCTTGTGGCTCTACCTCAAGACTGCCAAGGCATCAATACCTGTTGGGGATGTGGAGATCGAGAACTACGGTTGAACATGGAAATAAGATCCCATATACTGGTATGACAATCGGGTGCACTACACCACACCACAGTCAGTGGGTGCAGGCAATGTTCAAGAGATGGATGGATAGCCTGATCAGGGAAGTAACTGCAGTCAACCACCCCTATTCCCAGTGAATGGAGTGCTTAGTACTTGCATGGGTTGCCAAATCAGACTGGATCTGATAAACACTTCCCTAGCATGGAATCTGAAACCAACACAGGTGGCCGACACACAACACACATACATACATACATACACACACACACACACGCATGCACACACATACAGATACACACACACACACACACACACACACACACACGGATACACACACACACCACCACACACACACACACACATACACACACGTAATAAGCACACCCGTGAACGAATGATAGTAGAGCAGACACCAACCTGGCTTTTCGCCATGAACAATGCCCTCATGGCCGTGATTAATCTTGTTAGATAGGCATCAGATAGGCTACGTTCGGCACCCAGCACCACGCTGCCATCCGCGCCGACGTTGACGTAGCTCTCAAAGTCCTGCTGTCCTGTTATAGACACCTTGGGCACTAGATCAGCCGGCAACTTCACTGGCGTGTTGCCTTGCGTCACAATCAGAGGCACGTAGTGATTATGTGCGTTAGAACTCCAGGCAATTGCGACGGGCCGGTTCAGCTCCGGCGTGGCACCGGCGGTGCGAGCCTTGCCACAACACTCCTCCGGTGGGTACAGCACAGGCAGGTATACACCAGTGTACTCGCATGACGAGCGCAGTCCCTTCATGCCGTCCAGGAGGATGATGGGCCGACGCAGGACATTGGCCAAGCCGAAGATGTGAATGGGACGCAGGCCATGGGTGGGATCTGCGGCGAAAACTGATGGCCGGTAGTTCGGGTGTGCTTCGTCCACGATCTCGCGCCACTCATCACGATCCGAATCCATGAAGTCACTAAACACCAACTTGTAGCGATCCAGATTCTCACAGAGATGCTTGTGCAGGTTCATACGTAGGGCATGCCAGAACAGCTCTCGCCCCACTAAGCAACGGGAGATGGCATGTACCAGGCAATGACCATCACCATCAGCATGCAGAGGTACCAGGCAGTTTCTCTTATTGTTCGTATCGTAGACAATCTCCAGGATTTCTGACAGATAGGCGAAACTCATCTTGTCCACACCATAGCCTACTTTGTCGAGGTGCTGAACATCCACCACGAACGATCGGTCGCCCAGCGCGGAAAAATCAAATATTTCTGACTTGCTGCGGAGCTCGGTAAGCAGCTTGGCATTTCCTGATTTGTCCATGCCATGGTTGGTCAACAAAGGAGACAATAGTTTGCACTCGTAGCTCGACAGACCAAGGATTTTCACCGGCCCAGGGTCGTGGCCACTGGAGGACGTCGGATCCTTCAGAAGCTTCTCATTGAGCAACTTTAGTACGGACGCCAAATCCCTAAGGGACTCTGTGTTGGTCAAGCTGGAAGGCTTGTGTCGCCCATCACATTTCGGGCATTCGATAATCTCAGATGAGCTATTGAATACTATAGACTTTCCACAGTCTGGGCAGGAGCCCACATAATTGGAGAGCGCCGACATTTTCTATGTGGTAGAGTTCGGAAACGTAGCGGCTGCATTAGATGCAAGGAAGAAAAGAACAAACAACAAGCAGCGACTTTTCGAGCTCAGTTGTTTCGTCTCTAGCCTCCACTCTGCACCCAAAAGGCAAAACTCATGCCCTCAACATGTTACAGGGGTTATTTTCCCACTTGCACTTCCCCGGCAAAAGCATTACGTCATACGCTTGGGTATGCACGGGTACACAGCCTGCTTGGCTGCTGCATGCTCGAGCTGTTCAATCGATGACACACAAAATATGCAAGCCAAGCCTTTTTTTCTTTCTGTTTCTGACTTTTTATTCGTGCTTGTTCAAGTACGTAACAATAGTTGTCGTGTGATCTGCAGACTCAGTTGCAGACTCTGGTTGATCATTGACAGGCTGGCGACTGGACTATGTACTATCGGTCGTTCAGGGGTTCTCCTGGACTTGAGTCGAGACTCAGAGTTTCGTACTACTACTACTACTAGTATAATCACGCAGTACAATACACAGTGAGACTAGTCGGAGGCTCGATGTCGTGTCGTGTGGTAGTGTGGACAGCTAACAGGAGTGGTGAGACAAGACGTCAAAAGGGTGATTTGGATTAATTAAAGTATAGTACCTTGAAGTACATGTACAGTGCACTAGCAATAAGTAACTAGTCTTTACTCTCTAGATCTGCTGCTTTAGACAAGGTCTGGTCATGTCCTATGATGTCATCAACAACTATCCATTGCTGGGAAGGCCCCAGATTACACGCTGCCACCACCACCACCACGATACATCAGCACACAATAATGAATAGTCGCAGAACACGCCGCTATTATACTGATAAATAAACAGGGGGGTTGAATTTGCATGAGACAGCCAAGTACATTAGCTCGGACTTCCATTAAAGCGAAATACAATGCGTGTCAACAAAAGCAACTTGGGGAACTGCCACAGTCTGCCAGTACGCCGAGTAGGGTTAGTGAAATGAAGCAGAGTAAAGCCAACACGTGACAGTAGTAAACACAGTAGCTATCACCTGTGATTGTATCAACATTGACCATTGTCCACACCTGTGACACGTACTAGTGTACATCAGTGCACACTGACACATATCCGGGCCCCTTCATTACACATGATTACAAGTTCTCTAAACAGGGTGAACATAATTTACACGAATAATTATTTTTGGAAAAAAAACACCAGGAAGATTAGTCGCGGTAATGGCCATACGATTAGAGTTTCTGTCAGTTTACGTATCAATTCTTATTATAACAGACATGTTGTGAGTGTAAGCAATGCAACTCCAGCTCCAGTACACTACGATGGTAGGTTTCCATAGAATTACAGTCATGACTTTAGTTGCAGCTACACCGCCATGTGATGCTTCCTTATTCCTGAGACACTGACCACCAGGCACATATCAAACGCTTCTCCAGTGACCTTGAGCCCAGCTCAATGTCAAACGGACACCGCACCAGGCATTTATCTACTGGTTGCAAGCTACCAGAGCCTGCTGAACCGCCTATGGTACAGCATCCTCAAATGCAGCATGACTTCTTTTTCTCTTTGGCAGATTCATCGTTCGTATTCAGCTTCAGCAGGCCATCCATCGTCTCCTTTTCAGCTGCTAGTAGAATTCTGCAAAAGAAAAAAGACAGAAACCAAACCAGGACGGCATAAGCTCAGGATAGTCGGTCTCGGAACTTCGGAAAGCTCAAACTTTGTGCCAGCCAATTGAAATTCGGCGTTTGACAATCTGAGTCAACGGCTACGCGGATTGCAGTCTCCGCATCTGATTCGAGTGATGACTAGATTCTTCACTCTAGAAACAACATGAAGTCTTTAGTTCATGTTGATAAAAACCAGCCAGATGTCTACAGATGTCAAAAGTCAACAGTGCGGTGCCACAAATTTCTAATGTACCAAAGGTATCATCGAATTTCTTCATAAACTGGTGTTCGAGGTACACTGGTAGAGCCAACAAGAATCGATAAAACCAATATAGCGATCGTTAATGATATCGGGTGATCGTTATGAGTTATTGAATGATCGTTTCAGCCCTAATATCAGCCCTAATACAGGGACGTGCTCAGCCCCCCAACTAGGGGGGTGCACGGGAGCCGAGGGGAGCCCCCCGGCAATTTTCTGCAATTTGTTTGCAACCTTTCTTGAATTTTAGAGCATATTTGCATACATTACAATTGCAATTACCCAGATTGAAAATGTTTGGGGGGGGGGGGGGTGCACGTGCCCCCCGTGCCCATCGCCGAGCACGCGCCTGTAATATAAAGTACTAGTTTCGAGGACCCTTTATTACTACTGAAGTATACCAGTCATTCGACGTAGGATGTACAGTACCTCGGCTATTAAGCCGGTACAGATATCTATAACCCTAGGCAGTACACGTACGTTAAACTGACGTTCACTGTACATGTGTACATGTAGCCAAATTGTCAGTGTTGTGCCACACAAATCTGGCCTCGGCGATAAACAGCAGAGTCTTGAGAACAGTTCAGTCGTGGATACGCCGTGTGCAATAGCTAACAGTTTTTGGTAAGATAGTTTTCAACTGCAAAGTCACACTGTCAATCGCTTTACATCTGTCCTTGACTCTTAGGTATGCTAAGGAGATTGTAGAGCACCGTGTGCAACAACAAAAAATCAAATGGCCTCTCGACACTATCATCGGATGATACAGAAACGGAGAACAGATACAGACAGGCAGACGACCATGCCCTTACTTGGTCATCTCGTAGCAGGTTTCCATGATATTGTGGCCAGACTTTGCACTGACCTCAGCAAACAGAGCGTTGCTTTGCTGCATGGTAAAGAAACAATCGTGGCGGACACACACGGCCGAAACTTCACATTTTCCCATTCACCCAGCGCACATGATTGTATTGGCCACATGCCGGAGTGGCCGTCACACCCACTGACTGTCATGACCATACTGGTTGTGGGGTATAGCACAGTGCATACCCACTATGTGAGTTAAGTCTCCAACACTCAGGGCAAGTTTGATGCCAGGCTAATTATTATACTCTCAGAGTCACGGTATACAGTAGAATTCTGATAAGGCATACCCCATGGGCAGCAGAAAAGTGTAATTAGTATCCAAAGTGCTTCTTATCCCAGCTTACTTCAGTATGTATCAATACACCATGCTCTGGATAATGTCCGTACTAAGCAAGGGTATGTCTTATCAGAGTACGTACTAAGTGAGTTCCACTGTGACTGTACCAGAAATAGTGTACTGTGAGTCAACGAATATTCAGTGCACATATATTTTCGGCTATTTTCGGCCTGGTCATGTTTGGCCGAAAATTTGTTGCGGCCGAAATTTTGATTTGCAAGGTTCAGTGTGACAGTGTATACAGGCGGCATCAGTACAGGTCGAAAATTTGATGTGGCCGAAATGGGTTTAGCCCTGGGAGGCTGAAATTTGAATGGACCGAAAATTTGTAGACTTACAGTATCCCAAGTGTAAACTTTACTCCAGAAAATCGAGTATTTCTTGCTAGTATAAACCCTATGACTGTACATGTAGATGCAGGTGATCACACAAGCTGGTCGGAGACTACGCACCTGAGCTAGTTGCTGCGCTTGCCAGTAGGTGACTTTCCGCCGTGGCCTGGGACGCACATCAGCCAGGTCCACTTTGTTCCCTAATAACATAACTGCGGTGCTTTCACCAGTAGCCTCCTGAGACAGAGAGAGAGAGAGAGAGAGAGAGAGAGAGAGAGAGAGATAGAGAGGCAAAGTGAAACCGAGACATAGAGAGGGGTGGGAGCAATGAATGAGGATAGGGAGCTCATGAATGGTACCCAATAGGTCACGACAATCCGGTAGCTCGGCCGAAAACAGATAAGAACGCAGTATTCGGATACTAGTAAGTTAGTAAGATGATGGCCAGGCATTCGGGAGTGTACATACATGGTTCATTTAAAATTGATATGAACATCGGCATGATGGATGCCTGTACCTGCAATTGGGCAATCCATTCGCGCACATTCATGAAGGACTGGTCACTGCAGATGTCATACATGACAATCACACCGTCTGCCTTGCGGAAGTATTGCTTCGTGAATGAGCGGAACCTGCACAACCAAAGGACAACATCAGGAGCAGGTGCTAGGCGCTATCCAAACCACACTGATCCTAGCCATTTTGAGCTGTACTCGTCACAGTAGTTGTGTGGGCTAGCTTGTCTAACTCTTCTTACACATGCTTGAAGTTCTTACACATCCTTGATCTGAATACAGGTACATTCACAACTACATGACTGTAGTATGTACTGTCTCAATTACAGTGCCAGTGCATAGCAACTAATTGGGAGCGATTGAAACCGAACCGTGTGAAATGTGTCCTGCATGTGGTGTCCTTGGTCGAGTGGTGTCCACCAAGGGAGGATCTCTGCAGGTAAACTTGGTCACACAACATCGAGAAATTTGTTTCGTGTCCAAGACCTGTGGGCGCTGATGCATTACAATCTGTGATAGGGAATCTAATACATGTACATTATATATGTAGCTAGGTATCATCAGAGAAATTGTTGCAGTTCGACACTCATCCAAATCCTTGCACAAACGAACAATCCTGAGTTTGGGGCATAGGGCACTAGTGACACCATTGCCTTTAGCCGCTGGCAGAAAAGCACTCTCGAACTACTCAGGGTGTGGCTACATGTAGGAATAGCCTGACCCTTTCTTTCTTTTCTTTTTTTTTGTCGATGGGTTGCCCCTACAATAAGTACCAGTATACGAGTAAGGACATTTCCCACGTACCGTTCTTGACCGGCAGTATCCCAAAGCTGTAGTACAGTCTGCTGTCCATCAATCTCCAGCAACTTTGTTTGAAACTCCACACCTGTAGCAGTGTGTGCGCGGCACACGAGACACATGACAGCCAAGGCTTGAATGGCAAGCACACGTCATATGAACAGCATACAGGCTTGCTACTCACTTGATACTTCAGCGCAAATTCACTGGGGAGGTACACATAGATGGTCAATCAAAGATCAGCATACTGAGATAAGGCCATCTTGCACCTACATGAAAAATGCTTGTCTATGAAAATCAGACTACTCTCTTAAGAACGGCATACTGTGTGGGTGGGTGTGGGGGGGGGGGGGGGCTGAGGTGGGTTGCACAAGCTGCAGCAGTGCAGGGCATCAAGGACTGCCGGACTTGGGACACAGAACGATCACCAGTGGTTGGGTCTCACAACATTAGCCAGTACTGTAGAATCTAAGTTATCTAATGGTCTCATTTCATTGACCCGAAGCTGTTTGGCAAAGGACATACTGGCTCTGTTTGAACTTTGAAGCCTTCTGCGCTGATGCATTTGTTTATGCGGTAAGGCTGCAACCGCACTAGTTACAAAACTGCATATCGTATTTCCCCAATTATAAAGTAGTGGTTGCGACTTCGGCGATGATTTTGTAAGAAAGGTTTGCTCCCCACACCGGAACTCGCGCTATTCCGCCGACTTTACTTGACACTTGACTGACTCACGACTGCCATCCAGAGCACACGAGAAGTCCATCGAACCTTCGACTCGGCAAACCTGCAAGAAAGCACCACTCCCTGCTCAATACACAGTGTTTCGGGGAATTCACCCCTCATCAGTTGAGCTTGAGTAGGCTGAGGAAACACTGTGTATTGAGCAGGGAGTGGTGCTTTCTTGCAGGTTTGCCGAGTCGAAGGTTCGATGGACTTCTCGTGTGCTCTGGATGGCAGTCGTGAGTCAGTCAAGTGTCAAGGAAACACTGTGTATTGAGCAGGGAGTGGTGCTTTCTTGCAGGTTTGCCGAGTCGAAGGTTCGATGGACTTCTCGTGTGCTCTGGATGGCAGTCGTGAGTCAGTCAAGTGTCAAGTAAAGTCGGCGGAATAGCGCGAGTTCCGGTGTGGGGAGCAAACCTTTCCCCAATTATACTTGTATGTAAGTCCGAGTCGCTCTCGATTACAAGTTGCACCCCCACTTTTCAGGTTTGAGCCATAATTTTTTCGATATACAGTCAACTTCGCATATAACGACACTCGGCGGGGCATCAGAAAAGTGTCCTTATTCGCGAAGTGTTGTTATACCCGAAGTCCCATTATATGTATTACAGTTGGATGGGACTTTGCTCTGAGCATGGAAATTCCGTCGTTATTCGCGAATTGTCGTTATATCCGCAGTCGTTATTAGCGAAGTTGACTGTATTCACTTCAGTAGTAAGTCATGCTCGATTGTAAGTCACACCCCTTTTTTACCCTGTTCTATTTTTAATGTAAAAGGTGCGACTTATAACCGGGGAAATACGGTAAACAAACTTTTTCGCATATGTTGTCAAGGAAACGCGCGAAACGCAGAACGAGCTTCGTTCCCTTTCAGCAATCCTGGTATCCCTGTAGAAAGCAACTTTTCGCCTTTTCCTTGCCTTTCTGTTCTTCATATGGGTACATGTTTCTTGTTGAGGTTTGCACTGTGTCGGTGGTAGATGGCTTCCTTGTCAGTTTATAGTACTGTAAAAGCCATTGCTCTAATGAGCCGCAATTGTCATGATTTCCTAAAATTGACCTGTTTACGTGAACCAAAGGTAACGATTCTCACTGAACCATAACTGATGGCATTATTATTCGGCCATTTCCTTCCGCCATGCCAGTCTTTTGTAGTTATTTTAACCATCTCTTCTTCGTTCGCTTTTCTACAGTGGTGCCATTGTCATTAGGCAATTTCAGGGCTCACAGCCGGTATGCCAAAACCTCGATTACGTGGGAGGACATATTGGATCTGATCACCATAGAAACGGGCAAGCGTGACTGCAAGCGCAGGCGTAGCACTCACAGTCGCAAGGAGATTTTGACTTGCTTGGGCTGAGTTGCTGTGACAAGAACTGAGCCGTGCATGGTGAAGGAGACGGAGACAGTTCTCCATTTGTTTCGGTTGTTATTGTTTCCTTCCGAGTGGACTATTTCGCGAGCATTGTTGGCCTCATCGACCGAATTCTTCCTTCAGACTGTCCACACACGGAGTCCTGCGAGGAGTAGCCCCGAGCAGATTCCTGCATTCGTTGAACACGAAAGAGTTCAACATCTACTGCCCGGCAGCTACGCCGCTAATGCACAGGCGCGGGTGACGGGATCGGGAGAGGGAGAGGACATGCACTCCTTGATGTTGAAGGCATGGAGCAATGACTCACGTAGTGTTCTAGTTTTAGTTTCTCCGCCGTGAAGTCCTGTTGTGTCCAATGTAAATATACGCCTGGTCCGCTGCGAAGAGCCGCGGAACGCAGTAGTGACGATGTGGAGTTGTGAATTATTTGATCCGCCACTCCGTTTCGTTGCAAGAGAACACGTCCAGTGGCTTCGCCGTTGTGCTGGCCATGTATTTCTTCAGTCGGCCATAACTCCTGAAGGACACAGCGATGAAGCGCCAGGCGAGTAGCAAAACATTTCGAAAATTTGCCTTGCTGTAGTGTTGTTTCCGCATTCACAACCGGTCCAGCGCGCGCGGTTCTTCCTGGTACCTGTACTGCAGATAGCGTCGCCTTCGAAATGTTCGTTTGTACCCGTCTCTTGCCCGATTTTGATGGCCAATAGCTTAAAATTTTCAGTAGGAAAATTAGAAGAATTTGTCCGAGAGACTTTTCAATTTTAGGACAATAATTCATGTCAGAATTACGCCTGCACCAACTGATACTTTGGCCCCGTATGTACGCCAAACCGTATCGATTAAAACAAAAAAACTCTCGGACAAATCCTTACAATGGATATTGAGAGTATGTTCCTAGAGTTTGAAAGGCCTAGGAGAAAGCATCAGTACAAATGAACATTTTGAATGCACCCCACTTTCAAGCTTCGTGAGATATTTGCCCGATCGCATGTACACGATTCTGGCATACTGCCTGGCTCGCGTGACAGCTCGCGTGACAGCGGCCTGTCCAAAATGGCGCCCACGCTTTTGTACGAGGCTGTGAGCCCTGAATTTGCCTGTTCTGCTTGCCACTCTAAATAAATACCATACAATACACTACAATACAATCATTCTCAGATTTAGCACTTCGTTATGTATAAGGCTTTTGATATTTGAGATTTCATCTGCCAATGCTTTGCTTTCAGTATATTTCCGGACACTTCTGTTGCCCGTTGTTGTTGGTTTTCGAGATGCCGCACAATAATTTCACTGACGATCACGAAGCAAGGCAGATGACAAAGCAGACCATCCGAGAGAAGGAGATGACCGAGGCCTTGAACATACATTATGCCAAGGACCTCTATGGTGAGGGGTGTATGTTTTTTTTCACAAAAAAACATACACAACAAATCGGACAACCTGAAATCCAAGGCTCGGGATTTCTATTAAAAAAAACCACAAGAAGTCGCAGGAAACTGGTTCTGCTGCACCAGACCCGGGCAGTAACGATGCCTACAACCTACAGGTTCAGCTGGTGTATGCTTGCTGGGGAAACTTCAGGACATGGCATTCCCTGTTTGGACAAATGCCTGGATATGGTCACGGTATCAATAAATACTGCTTCTCTCCAGGCCGCTTCCAGCTCTGATCCCTCGACACCTGCAGCACCCAGTAGCAGCAGCATTGCCATCCCTAGGACGTCGTCATCTTCACCACCCAACTACAGCACACCTGGCTCAACTACTGCCAGCGCGTCAACAGTGACCCGGCCAACACTGAGAGCTGATGACGCTGACGATGACAGTCTTGATGCTCTCATTCTTGCTGGTCATTCAAGTTCGCCACTGTGTCCTGCGACACCATCCACCGCAGTGACTGTATCGGCTGATAGTACACTGGTAACGAATACAGGGCGAACACATGCCCGGTGGAGCAAGCGGCCATTATCGCATGTTACCGCATCAGCATTGGAGCATGCAGATGGTGACGACGACAGAGAGGACAATAATGATTCTGCTGCTCTAGATCCTCTGCAGATTGTTGGGCAGGCCAAGAAAAAGTGTAGGAAGAAGAGGCACACAGAGGGAGACCAGCCCAGTCCTGTAGCTGACAATTTGATTGCTGGCATAGGCAGCATTCATAGGGAGTAGCAACAGAGCACACAGCGGCATTCCTCAGTGGATTGATGATGCAGCAGCAGACTCACTCCACAAACCTCATGCAGAGCCAGATGCTGTTTTGAGAGAGTTGTTTGCGCAGCCCTCCTCATCATCAGGACTGGCCAGCCTCAACGCCATGATGACCAACACGCCCCGTGATGACCAACACACCCGTGATGAACAACACGTCCCGTGATGAACAACACACCCGTGATGACCAACACGCCCCGTGATGACCAACACACCCTTGATGAACAACACACCCGTGATGACCAACACGCCCCGTGATGAACAACACACCCGTGATGACCATCACAGCTGTGATGCCCAACAATGCTTTTTTTTCGTGACGTCAAACGAAAATCCTTGCGAACGTTCACTCTGCAACACCTCTCTAGTCTATCGAGTGCTCGCTAGGCTATCGAGCTTCAGACAAATGAGCCGGTACCCGTCTGCCCGATGTACTCGTTCACCCCTAGTTACTAGAACCTCAACGTCTTGCATGAGTGGCTAAACATACTTTGCTTGTGTTCCAATGAGAATGACATTTCATGATATATCCTGATACGTGATGTGATCCCGCACGGCATCAGATTGCTTCAAGTATATAATACTATAATTACTCAATCTGCGGACAGCGTGCTGTTTCGTTCTTTGTGAACTCATCAGCGCAGCACAGAGGAAATGAGGCCGAACCTGATAGCAATGAAAATAAAAATTTCCAATCAGGCCCGAACGTACCTTGCCAGAGTGCTCAAACTGACAAGTCAGTGAGCTCTGCGTAATGCAAACAGCAAAGGCACTACCCCACATAAGAGTGCTCAACTGCTACAAGAGCAGGAGCGAATACTATAATACTATAATTATATAACATTCTAGGGCATGCAACATGGTTTGGAGAGCCACTGGCCAACCATGCACAATTCAATCTGTACAGTACCTATTGGGTTCTAACGATCCGGGCCCGAAACGTCAATCATTTTTCGACATCACAATAAGTTCTCATGCAGCGCATGCGCAGATTATGAATAGCAACTGAATAGAGCGGTTGTCAGTTGACAAACGCCCTTTTCTTTCACCTTACCTATTGTAGAGGAAAAGCTGCTTGGCTGAAAGTCACCCTCCTGGTTGCAGATACGCCAAATGTAGCTGGTTTTGCCCACGCCCGAGTCACCGCAGAAGACTACCTTGAAAACACGGTCTGGCGTGACGCCACCGACTTCGTTGACAAGATCAGATGTGATGGGAAACTGCACCGTGGAGTGTTTGGCTGGGTTCAACTGCAACCAGAAAAAAAGTTTCCAAAACAGGAGACACAGAACGTGTAGGTACGCGTGCAGTTAAAATACAAAGCTGCAATGCTGCAATTGACTGGGTGGATAGATAAAGGAAGATGGAAAGAAACTGCATTTGTGACCCAGGTCAGGGGACAGAGAAAGCACACCGACATAATCTCCCCGACCTCAAACACTGTCTCTGTGCCATGGATGGATATAGCATAAACAGTGTTCAAAGCAGGGGGTATTTTACGATTTTCTGGCTCGAAAGTTTATGGACACATACCAGTACAGGCCTGGTGGAACCGGTCCAGTTCGCCAGGCCATGGCCTATAGATATATGGCCAGACCAAGTCCTTTTTGGCCACCAACGGTGTTTATTGCTGAGCAGGTCATGTGTCTACCCTCCATATCATGCCGTGACACAGTATGAAAAGCTGGGGTACCGCCAGACCAATCAAAAACTGCTTCCACCGGTCCTGTAGGAATATTTAACTAGCAAGGGATAGTTTGCACTTGAGCCAGTGCAAACTGCAATAACTCAAGCCAATCTATAGACCACAATGCACACTGAACAGCACTGGCAGACATGCAGTGTGCGTGTGCATGCAACCGTCACCGCTACAAAGTAGAGCAGAGCACCATTTGACTGCTGACAAGTACATTGTATGTGTTGCCACCCCCATGTGCACAAAAAGGATGGTACTGATGTTGTACCTGCGCCTGCACGTGTTATCTCTTCGTCGTAGCTGCTGCTGTATTTGTGTCTCTGTGTGTACATGTGGTTGCACGTGTTGTCTCTTCGTCGTAGCTGCTGCTGTATTTGTGTCTGTGCTGCTGACCCGTACATGCTGCTGCGCTGCTTTGTTGTTGACACGTGCACCTTTTTGTGCTGAGTACACCACCTTTTGTGCTGACGAGGGCACCAATTTCTGATATCATGTTTTCTTTTTGCCATGTCGTCGTCAGTTGTCCGACGTTCGTCGTCAGTTGTCAGTCGTTCGTTGTCAGAGTCAGACGTTTGTTGACAGTCGTCAGTCATTCGTTGTCAGTGTTAGTTCTCCATTATGAGTTCTTCCGTCGCCGCTTGAAGTAAACTATGAAAAGCTCTCTCTCTCTAGCTCTAGAGAAAAACCACTGACTAGTTCGTTTTGAGGTGTGGCGTGGCGAGGATAGAAGAGGCAGTTCGTTCTCAACCTTCCGAGACGACATTTGGCGCCCAACTAATCGAACCCACGACCCTGAAGCTCGTCGCTCTCCGGCCGGTGTTTTTCGTTTTCCTCTTCGCGTTCTCGCCATGGCTCCGCTTTGCTGCGTCTGTTCAACCCTTTCCTAGATCCTCGGAGCTCCTACTCAGGTGAGCATGCCTTTGTAATTGTCTGCTCTGCTATGCGTAATGTGTTGCCGTACCTTGTATTCGATTTCGAATTTTCAAATAATTGTTTTGCGTCGGGTGACTCGGGTCCCGGCAGGAATTCCGTGGAACCTTGTTCTCTTGTGTTCGAGTGTGTACTCGTAGTGTAGTCTTGCTGCTCGTTGGAAGTTCGCCCCGTTGTGTTAGTTGTGCTCTGACTACCCTGTACTGTACAGTTGTGTATGAAAATTTCAAACTTCTGTTCGTGCGCTACTCGTTCGAATCTGGAACTTGTGTTTGCATGTTCGTCGTGCATTCAGCATGGGTAGCTTTGATCTCGTCTTGTGTTGTGCACTTGTGCTTGTCACGGAGTTGCCGTCGGACTGCTCCGATAGTGTGACTGTGTCGCGTGATTTGTTTAGATGTCCACCTGAACGTTCTCGAGGTGCTGCCTCGTATGTAGTCGATCCATATTGTTTTGTTTCGTGTTTTTACCGTTTTAGTAGTAGTTTCTCCATGTTCTGTGTACATGGTGTAGAGCGTTGTCAGGCTCGGTCATGCACTGTCAACAAAGTAGGAAAGCTGTTGGCTTCCGGTTTGGTGGGAGGTGTGAACTTCATGTAGGATTCTCGTTCTTGATCCAGGTTGAATTTTTTTGTGAGCGTGTGGTTTTGTAATAATTGTGTTTCGGCATGTGGGTTTCTCTAGTTCGTCTGGGTGGGCGTCTGATCATGGTGAGCCACGGTCTGCTTGGTGGTCTGCAGGAATCCTGCGTTTTTTTTGTATCGGTTTGCCTTGCGGGTGTTATGGTTTCCGGGTGTTGCTGGTTGGCCCTTGTGCGTCCCAATCGGTCCCTGACAGTTTCTTTTCTTCAGTTTTTTGGTTTTGCGAGCGGATGTACTATAAGTTCCGTGTTTTTTCAGGTTCAATCCCTGCGGTTTTTTCAGGTTCAATCCCTGCGGTTTTTTCAGGTTCAATTCCTGCGGTTTTTTCAGGTTCAATCCCTGCGGTTTTTTCAGGTTCAATCCCTGCGGTTTTTTCAGGTTCGATCCCTGTGGGTTTTTTCAGGGTAGCGCCCTGTGGTTTTTCTTCATTATCTTTTGCGTATTGGTAACCGATTTGTTTGCGTGTCCTCGATGGTGTCCTCACTGATTAATTGCTCCTGTTTCAATCGACGTGTTCTTCCTGGCTGTTCTTCCCTTCCTTCGTGTGCTTTTCTGATTTTTTTGTGATGGCTGAGATGTTTGCGTCAGTCCTTCTCTCTTTCTGTGTGTGTCCTGTGATTCTCGGAGTTTCTGTAGCGCCATCGGTTTTCGGACAGCCGGCCAGTGTGCGTCCTGCTGTCCCAGTCTTCTCGGTCGGTGCGTACTGTCGGTCTCGCCGCTCCTGGAAGCGTCGCTGGGTCCGTCGGCATAACCTGTTTTCTCATGCATTTGTACTTTTGTTTTGTCATGACTGGTGGATGGGTGGCGTACTAGGTTGGTGCTGTTCTAAGAATAAAAGATCCAAAGGGACAAACACAGGTCGAACAGCTCGCCAGCCGGGGTCCTCTGCAAAATCTGTTGCTTGCAGGTTCCGTTGATTGTTCACAGTTGCACAGTTTTGCGGGGCTCCCGACTGGTGTTAACCCTCCTGGCCTACTCGTCATGCGTTCAACAGTTGTGGCCCACCTCTTTTGTGTTTTATTGTCGCCTGTTTATGTTGCTTCATATTTCATTTCCCCTGTCTTTCTGTCTTCTTCTCCGGTCTGTCTTCTTCCGTTTTTTATACACTTCACTTTTGCTTCCATCCACAGGAGTGGATGTCTTTTTTTGGTAGGGGATAGTGTTGTACCTGCGCCTGCACGTGTTATCTCTTCGTCGTAGCTGCTGCTGTATTTGTGTCTCTGTGTGTACATGTGGTTGCACGTGTTGTCTCTTCGTCGTAGCTGCTGCTGTATTTGTGTCTGTGCTGCTGACCCGTACATGCTGCTGCGCTGCTTTGTTGTTGACACGTGCACCTTTTTGTGCTGAGTACACCACCTTTTGTGCTGACGAGGGCACCAATTTCTGATATCATGTTTTCTTTTTGCCATGTCGTCGTCAGTTGTCCGACGTTCGTCGTCAGTTGTCAGTCGTTCGTTGTCAGAGTCAGACGTTTGTTGACAGTCGTCAGTCATTCGTTGTCAGTGTTAGTTCTCCATTATGAGTTCTTCCGTCGCCGCTTGAAGTAAACTATGAAAAGCTCTCTCTCTCTAGCTCTAGAGAAAAACCACTGACTAGTTCGTTTTGAGGTGTGGCGTGGCGAGGATAGAAGAGGCAGTTCGTTCACAACCTTCCGAGACGACACTGACACTGGCATAGCTAGGGTGACTCCACCTCAATCATACCGTATTCCTGTCAACTGCATGATGTAAACATTTGAGAGGTTGCGCATGCCGGTCTTTGCAGCTTTCGAAGGGCAAAGGCAAGGACGAAAAAGACCATGAAGAGCCATTCATTGGGAGCTCGTATGACCGGGGGAGCCGCGAAGTTCAAGGTTTTGTAAGTACGAGAAACGTTATTGGCAGTGATGAATGCACACAGCCAGTGTAGAGCAGCACACAAGAATCAAACAACTTTTTTTAGAGGGGGGAGGGGGAGGATCGACTATCGAAATAGTTCAGTGAGTGTTTTTCCATCGAACCTTGGTTACTCCAGGCCGTAGTACCCACCTCTTGGCATTTCGTTCTTGGCTGCTACCTCTCTAGTCTTACCTTTATGGGATGTACCACAGCCGGCATGTTGACTGGTTTTGTTGAGGACAAGTCCAGTCGGTCACTGACTTCTTCAGTCCAGGGTTGCGGGCCTCCAGTACCACCGCCCCTGCTGCCTGCTGGTGTGCGGTTGTGCCGTGACTTGACACGCATAGACAAACTGCGGCCCTTCACCGCTGGCCTTTCTTGGTGATGAGCGTGCTGCTTTTCCTGCACAGGCTGTACACTGGCAAGCGGGATGACACGCTCTGTTGCGCTCGCTGCAGCTGCTGCTTCCAGTACACTCGGCGTTACTTCTGCTGCAGCGTCTGTGACATTGATTTCGACCGGAGGTGTGAAGATATGTGCAGGAGAGTCACCGAGTACATCGGACAACTTCTCTCCTCGCAAAGCTGGATTCGACGGTGTACTTCTTGCCAAAGGGCCAGTGTCTGCTCCAGCTACTGTTTCTTGCAAGACCTCATTGGCTCTCTTAATCCCAATCGGAGTGTTCTGCCCAGGTAACGACCAGTTGTGGTCAGGGCTGTACCCCGGGACAAGGTCGTCCGGGGAGAGGCTGGTACGCCGGACAGGTTGCTTGGACGTTCGTACAGTCTCAGAGTCTGTGAACGCTGCCTTTGTTTTTGAGGAGCGGCGTGGTGAGGGTGATTTATGGACATGGGCACCGGCAGCTACCTCTTGTCTCTCGTCAACTTGCAGGTCAGAATCGGAGTCTGAGCTCATGGCCACCACCGCACGGGGCTGGGCAGCAAACACAGTACATTGTACACAGCACAGTACACAGTACATAGTGCAGTATACAGCACAGCACAGTACAGAGAACACAGTACAGAGAACACAGTACAGTATACAGTACACAGAACACACCAATTATTAAGCAACACATTGCACATAGTCAATACACAGCACACCGTGATTATCAAAGTCTTTCTCTGAAGTCAAGAGTAACGGAGCTTTTGTAAAGGTTTCGCCACAGCAGCTTAATTGCTCATACCGTTTTGAACCCCCCCCCCCCCCCCCCCACCGTGACACACAGACATTTCCCTCACCTTGGGGCGTGCTTCCGGAGAGTTTTCAACAGGGCTGCCTTCATCATCACCAAACTCTGCAGCCGCAGAAGCCTTGCTTTCCCCGATACCACTGCGGGGTGTAATGCGTGGCGATGCACCCGCTCCCCTCTGCCTCTTGCCACTACGTCGAAATGAACCTGAGCGACGATGGCGAGCGGAACGATCAAAAGGAGAGTTGTGAGTTCGGTGGCCGGGCCCTGATAGGGCATCCTCGTCAGATGTGTACCTGTTCGCGACGACAAACACAACAGCACCGAGTAATGTATCAGTAGGTAGTACTCGGACCCGCTTAGAAAGAGCTTCAATCACACTTCTGATAAACCTCCGCCATGTGAACTGCACTGCATTACATAGTGGGATTTTGCGTGATTGAAAACAAAGTGAATGCTCCGTAAGTCAATATTTAAAGAGCACACATGTTCTCAGTGCCTATAGCATATCGAGTGCGATCAGTCAGTCTAACACCAAATAGAACAAGGGCTCTGTGACCCTGTGTGTGTACATGTGTTCATGTGCGTGCGCGTGTGTGCATGCATGTGCCACGTATCTAGTTCAGTTGGTGGGTGCACTCGTGCGAGATGGTGGTTGGGCAGCAGGCTCAGCTGTTAGAAGGTGTATTGTTGTACCTGCCATCTGCATCTGTGTTGGTTTCCGCTACTTTGAACCAGTCAAAGTATACATACCTGTGACCAATGGGCCACGTGTAATCAACAGTGCTTCTGAAACATATACCAGGTCCATTTTGAAGGCTTCGCAACCTACACTAGCGTCAAGTGTTATCTTCACAGGGAAGGGCTGGGGGGGGGGGGGGGCAGGGGTAAACGCAGTTGGATCCTGGGACGGTGCCACGATGCCATCAACGTATTTTCTGCACCTTGTCCTCACTCACTTACTGAGGTGTGGTGAGCCCATAAGTGAGATCACTTCCAAAATCACTAGGTGTTTGGGGATTTTATAGCTTCCAGACCGCCCTAAAAAGAAATTAATGTTCTGTTGGAAAAAAAACTAACCTTGATTTCGATTTTCGTGTTTGGTATACAGATGGTGAAGACGAGCCGATAGCTTGCTGATGAGCACGGTGGTCGGAACCGTAGGAGCTGAATATGAGACAGAAAGCACAGTATCAAAAATACACCTGTAAATCTTGTATAATTGCTAAGACACTGATTGTCAAAAGACTTCAGTAGAAACCAACCTGATAGGGCAATACTGTAGGGGGCTTATGTCGGGCATGAAGAAAAAGAGCACAAGAATGAATACGGTATAGCAGGAAATTTTCGGGTGGAATTTATTTTCGTACGATTTCGTACACGGCCTCTTTTGTACTAAAATTAATTCCGTACTAAAATTTGTTCCTGTGAAGTTATGTACACTATACACGCGTGCCGTGCCGCATGCGAACACGTGCATTTAGCACGCAGCACTGTACGAAAATAAAATCCGTACGAAAGGTCGAAAATCGGCTTTGTCCGAAAATTTCCTGCTATACAGTAATTCATGACTGGCACAGAAAGACAGCTGACCAGTTGCTGTGTTTGGCTATATTATTAAAATTTGAGCTTCGCACAGGATCAGACAATCTGGAACTCAATTCATACCGGTGTCGGTAAGCAATTAGAACTGTTCAAAGGCGATCACATGTTATAGTGACGTGTGAAGTACAATTATGCTCGGTGAGACCCCACCCAAAATACATATGTGACACCTTCAACTTGCACAGACGGTGGCGGCCTGGATTGAGTGATACGAATGTGGCTGCACCCGGCTTCATAATAATACTCGTACAGTGATGTAATTGGAACTGGTCCAGGGTGCCCGTTTCGTACTTTTGGTCGGACTTCACCGAGCGCAACTATACTTCGAAGGAGTTTGAATGCAACCCGAAGATGTGTACATTCGATGTTTGTTAAAAATAATCTTGGGTAAATTTTAGATAAAGCCATACACAAGTACACATTCGTCATTGTAGAGCCCGGTGTGCAGGGGTGGCCAAGGCCATGTTCTTTTTAAGCGATCTCTACACAGTACACACCTAGCCAATTTATAACTAAGTTGCACAGTACGTAGACCGGGATTACCTGCTGAAATTGACAGTAGTTACTGCTAGACCCGATAATCAGTATCATCACTTGTTTACATCATTTTAACCGTGTGAAATCATTGATAAAATTCATGGCTCGTGTGGGACTTAGATGCATCCGTACTGAGTTACACCACCACACTCAAGCGGCAGCTACAAGTATACAGAATGCGGCATGGGATTACTATGTTATCGTTTATGGGCATATTCGTACATATGGTGCAATACACAACCACAGCCACTCCTAACAATTGCCAACACAGTCAATCACCTTTCTCCATCAACTGAATAGCAAGGAGAGATCCTCTGTCACACGACAACCAGAATGAATGGATGTACAGGTCAAGCCGAAATTGCACAGATCACACAAAGACACGATGGCATACCATGAAACATTAGCCGGAGCCTGAACTTCCAAGATGATTATCCTAAGTCCTCCCTGGTAGTTTAATACTAGAAGCTATAATTATAGGAATGATGTAATTTTGACATGTTTTCATCTCATCAGAAGATCAGGATACGCTCGTCAACTTTTTTTTAATACTCCTCATACATAGTTATTCTACGTAGACATGCATCAGGGAAATCTACTTTTCGCTCAATCATTTTCAGTGCACAGTACCAGGAATGAGAAAAAGGCACGAAATGCCTAAATACACTCAAACCTATGCAAAAAGCATCTTCCATGACTGCATTCAACATTCCAATCATCCGAATCCTGGTCTAAAGCACCGGAGCTGTCAAAGAAGTTATGCTACAACCTACGGTACTAGTACCTCAACCACATGACTCGTATGTACCTTAGACACAGCAGTACCAAACAAAACAGAATTTCAAATTTTCAATAGAAGATTAGAGCCAATAAGAGCCACCCCCTTAGACACGATGTCTACCCCGAAACACATCCAGAGAGAATTCACAAGACCTGCTTTTTAGAAAAGTCAACAGATCAGAATGAAACTACCGTCTACACAGACACCTAAACCAACATAGGATTAAGCTACATGAATATCATGATCTTGTTCCCGTTCACATTACATAATTCATGGAAACAGCGACATCAAGCATGAGAACGGCTTCATCATAATGATGTCATCATAATGATGTCATCATAATGATGTCATCATATTAGTAGATCATGACAGTTTCTTACTCGCTGAAATTTGCCAGACAGTTCCAGCTCATCAGCTCGGTCCTGCAACCGAAGTCTTAGGTTCATATTCAGTACACTGGAGACATGCAAAAGAAATACAATTGTCACGTTCATGTAGACATACAGCAGAACACTAACACAAGGGAGTAGTAGTTGGTAGGTCCCTTCATAACAGTTTAGCAGTCAGACCCTCGGACTACAGCCTTGAAGGGCATTTGCATCCAACATCTTTCAAGCCCATGCATCTACGCGTAGCTGAGCTAAGCAACACAGAAAGCAAGGGCGATTGGTCATGATCAATGGGCCAGTCACACCTGCATACATCCTACTACACAATGCAGCGCAGTACATCAGCCACTGTGAGCCCTGCTGATGAGACCTAACCCGTTTCAAACAGCTAGCTGTCCGGAGATTGAGTAATGCACAGCGCATGTACGCGTATAGGAAAATGACTGGAGTGCATGTTAGCAGACACAAGGGAATACTAAAGCGCCAGATGTTTATCATTTTAGTACTTCCTGGTAGACACCATGTGTATGGAAATGCAGTGTTCATATTTGGATATACGTTTTTCGAACCACCGCTGCAGGGATATGATTTAGAATTCAGCCCATGCGGTGGAACTATATTATCATATATGCGTACAGTTCTTATCTTTATTGTGAATTACAGACTCTCTGAGGTACAGTGCCTAGGCAACAGCAACAGTGTACCCAACCGAGTCCACAGCCATGAAGGAATACCACACCTGTTGGAAAACGTATGTACCATATATGTTCACAAAGAGAATACCATGAGCCATAAATAGCACATATGATCAATTCAACACACCCGGCAATGTCACAGCATGTATACAGAAATATACTGATTCTGTGGAATTTCAGATATGACCACTCACTGCAATGATTCGATATGTCTTGACAGTATTTCATGTTCACTTCCACTCAAGTTAGGGCTGTAAGAATAACAACAGTGAAAACAGTGATAACAATGATAGCGTCAATAAAACCGCCAACGGAATCCACCACCACACCAAATACTAGAAACAGCGACAGCAGCACTAGCTACAGCAGCAGCAGCACCACCACCCACAACTCTTTATCAAGCTGTGGTTGGCTTTCACCCTTGTCTCAGTTTTACTGGCCATCATCATGATGTGCCATGCGATAATGATATAAATACAAATACAAAGCTATCGCGTGCCAAACCACTGTCGACATAGGTCGACACAATCAACAAAATGACAGAGCATGGAATGTTCTCCAGTATTGCACCGAGAAAACAAGTCAGTTCACACAGTTTAAATAGAGAGGCTAAGATGTACGTTATTTCCGACATGACGCGCAATTTCACGTCAAATTTGGCGTAAAACTCGAAATTTCGACGTGAGCTGCAGGCAAGTGGTGGAAAGACACCGCACACTCTCGGGCTCAGAAGCTCAATGCATGTAACCAACACAATGATGGTGTGATAGGGTAAAGGGAAATAGTGCCCTTAAACAAGGTGAACATATGCTTTCATATCTACACTAGCCACTCAACCATTCGCGGAAATATTCCCTCAAACTCAGACATTTACTATTTAATGCACAAGCAGGGCTGGTACAGGCAGCTCGAAGGAGAGTCTCGATGCACAAGTGTGCAGAGCAGTATACACAAACAACAGAGACGAGATGTGGAGACTTCAGTAGTGAATACTGATGTCTGATGATTGTTGAAATGCATGAAACCTGATGTTACAGCAACACAGTCGTTCGCCTCTGTTGGTTGTGTACTATAACTATAATGTAAGTATCGGTATCCCAAAAAGTATTGGCCATTAGTTCAGCAGCAGCAGATCACATGACCATCATGTTACGAGCCTGCAACATTCCCTAGCATCTTTTTCTGAGCTAAACGTAATTAGAGCGGTACCTATGAAGAACCCCCCCCCCCCCCCCCCCCCCCCCTGCATTCAATCTTCCTTGCCTGCGTGCAATAAGCCCATTGTGCAATGACGTACTTTGTACCATAAACACCTCAGACAGCCACCTGGGCATGGTCGTCTGGGGTGTTGAACAGTGCATTCCTGATCCCAGTGTACTCACATAACACCCCAGACAGCCACCTGGGCATGGTCGTCTGGGGTGTTGAACAGTGCATTCCTAATCCCAGTGTACTCACATCATGACATGCATTACTCATACCTTCCATATTTGGCAATGCACAATGGCCTTAGAAAACCTCCCTCAGCAGGAACATCACCCACAAGGATACCTTGCAACAAAGGACACCTCGTAAGAAAGGACACTTCTCAAAAGAGAGTACCTCAAAATTAGACACATTTGTACAGTTCTTGCTATTGCCAGTCAAGTGAAAATGCACTCAATAATCAGGATAGGTCCCTGACAGCATCACTGACAGCCTTTCTGCTACGTAAAATGTTTGATTGACAGCCTGTCAGTAATAGAGATGGGCCACTGCACTATTATTATTCTAGTATACTCAAGGAGACCTATCCAGAATCGGCAATATGCTGGCCCTGGCCTGGAGATCTGCAACTATAATCAGCTTCTACTTTGCAACATTAACGGATTAGTCCCCCTTCGTCGATTGATGGATCAATCGGTAGATTCGGCTCTGTTTTTCTTTCCTTTCTTTCTTGTTTTGAATTGTACGTTGAACTCATTGGATTTCTTTGTATTCTGTATCTCGTTATCGTTATTATTTCCCTCTAGCCCTCTCGCTTAGGATGAGCATTCTTTTTTATGGCAGCTTAAGCGAAGGCTATATACCTGCTTTATGCAGGTTGATGCCAACGCGAACAAGCAAAATAATAGTAATAATAATACTCAAGGAGGCAAGAAACAACAGACATACCCGGCGGACACAGGTCTTGACGATGACTCATGTTCGCTAGCGGAGAAGGATAACTGCTGCTGAAGCTCTTCATGCTTTGCACGCTGGGCTTCCAGTGCCTTCTCTAGGGAGGCCTTCATCTTCTCCATCTCCTCGTACTGTGTTTCCATTGTCTTACCCTTGGCACTCAGCTTGTGTACCTGGCCTTGTAGCTGCAGAAGAGAAAGCAACACCAGTACATTACAACAGTAACCTGTCAACCTACTGGGTATCATTCTTGTTAGAATTTAGTATCCTTGACCCGCTTAAATATCACCACACCTTACATTTAAGGAAGGACCGAAGGAACGTGAACGGAGAACAGGTATTTGACTTTTAAAGACGACACAACACTTCGGGATACACGTTGACGGGGACGACGTTCACTACAAAACCACGATAGCAGCAGTTTGGAAATAGAGTTTTACAAGCTCAAGTAGACAGGACGCAATTTAGCATAACAGTAAGAGTATACGGCCCCTCATCAAGACTGTGTACAGTGTATGAGTATTGTACCTGGTGATATCCTTACAAACTACAGTATAGCCAGCTTTCAATAAGGATTAGGTTGAAAAATGCATAGAAGATCTGGCGAACGAACAAGACTGGGGTAGAGGTGTGTGTGTGTGTGTGGGGGGGGGGGGGGCTGGTTGAAAAACAATATGCAACAGTAAGCCCACCTATTGTTTCAGGAAATGAATAGAATAGATGAAGTTCATGGTTCCCCTACAAAATCAGTCACACTGATGCTTTTTTTCTTCATTCACAAAAACACCAACATGCTGAACAAACAAGGCACATGTGCAGCTCCTAACGCAGTGGGAGGTGAGTAGACCAGGCCCACAAAATGGCGATAACAGCCCGTAAATCTGTTTCGCTCCGTCCATGTAACCCTCCAAAATGCACAAGAAAGACGTCCAGAAGAGTTTAGCACTCACCGAGTTGAGATCCTCCATTGCATTCTCCAGGCGCTGGTCTCGTTCCTGCACTTCCTTTAACAGGTTTTCCCTGACATGGCGTAATCTCTTATGCTCCTGTAACGAGAAGAGGTCATGTAGCATTTATGACAGGGAGCTTAGAAAGAAATGCACACTGCGAACAAGGTAGGTATAAATTGTCATGATAGGTGTTCGGATCTGCCACTATTCTTCTAGAAGCAAGGTGTGTGCCCTCTGTGTGTGTGTGTGTGTGTGTGTGTGTGTGTGTCTTTGCAGAGTGACCTCCGGCGCCTCGATAGCTTCCACCACCAATGCATACGTAGCATCTTGTGTGTTTCGCGAACACAACAGTGGGAGGAACGCGTCACCAATGAGCAGCTCCGAGAGATGTGGGGTGATCCATCGCTATTGTCCTCCCGGCTTCGGAAGCGAAGGCTTGAATGGCTTGGCCATGTGGCCCGCATGCCGGATGTTCGTGTGCCCAAGCAGCTGTTGTTTGGCTTCCTACCGTCGCCTCGGCCTGCGTGTGGTCCCCGTTGTCGCTGGAGGGATGTGATTTCGGCTGATCTTCGACACATCGGCATTGAACATCTGGCTTGGTATGGGATTGCTCAGGATCGGTCTGCCTGGCGAGTGTCGGCCGTTGAGCCGAGCCTCGGCGGTCCTTCCCATGACCAATCTCAACGGGTGGACTATCTTATCTTCCACCGTTCGTTTCGCCGGCCAGGTGACAAAACAAGGCACAAATGTAGCGCAGAGCGATGTCTCCCCATCCAGGATCAGCGTGGTGCTGTGCAGTGTGATACATGCAGGAGGTGGTTTCATTCTCGTGGTGGCTTGCGTGTGCATCATTGCTTGCCCCTGGAACCATCGGAAGCGTCCGCACCGGCATCATCTATTCCGCTCAACGTCCCAGCTTCTCCCTTGTGTGTGACACGCAATCGGCAATTCAAGTCAGTGCCTGGTTTCAGGCGTCACAAGTGCGACCGTGGCCATCGAGCAAGCAAGTCTGACAGAGCGTCATATTGTGTTCGCTGTTCTCGCTGCAACCGTCAGTTCCGTCGACAGAGTGACCTGAGTCGTCATCTCCGTTTCTGCTCCTGACAATGACTCTGGCTCCTTTCGGTGTGGCGTGGCCCTTGTGGCAACCAAGCTACAGTAGTAGTAGTAGTAGTAGTAGTAGTAGTAGTAGTAGTAGTAGTAGTAGTGTGTGTGTGTGTGTGTGTGTGTGTGTGTGTGTGTGTGTGTGTGTGTGTGCGCGCGCGTGTGTGTGTGTGTGTGTGGTTTGAGTGGCCTGTGACTCTCGCCCAGACTGGAGGTTGGCTTACACCTCAGACGCCCCGGTTTCCCCCGTACCGGCACCGGTGACTTTTTCACGTGCGCCCGGCACTTCGTACGTCAGGGCGACCTCGCTAGGCACAAGTGCACGGCTGAGCTGCAGAAGCCAGTTTCGGAGCAGAGAGGTGCATGTCAGTGCCCTCGGTGTTATCGTTGGTTCCGGAGCCGCGGTGGCTTGGCTGTGCATCGTTGCTCAGCTTCTACCTCGTGCCCAGTACCGACCGAACCAGCTGCTGTTGTCACCGGTGACACTACCGCTCGGTGTTGCTGCAATGCTCACTGTGACATCTGCAATCGTTGTTTCCGCTCAACCCAGGGACGCAACCGCCATCGCTGTTCAACACACTGCCACCGTCCAACGGCTAGAGAACGGGACAAGTTCCCGCATATTTGTATCTGATCTCGCCGGTTCCGACTAGTCTCGCATCTGGAGCGCCATCGGGTGGCGTGCTCTTTCTCTCTCTCTCTCTCTCTGCTGCCCCTCCGGGGCCCACGTGACCCTAGTGGTAGTGGCTCTACAGGACAGGACAGGTGGTTTGAGTGTGTGTGGGGGGGGGGGGGGGGGGGTGCCCCAATTACTAGTACCACTGTGACAGAGTGTTCCGTCGTCCTGGTGACCCTAAGTTGCATGCCCATACTGCAGATTTCGAGTTTAGAGCCTCAGTGTGAGGAAGCCATCGCTATCATTGCTATGGCAATGGGCGTTTAAGGTTCAAGTTGTGTGTCTGTGTATGCATGAATGTGGGTAGGTGCGTGTGTGTGCGGGATGGGAGGGGGGGGGGGGGTACGAATGCCGCTTTGTGTGAAGGTACTACAGTCGTCCCTCTCTAATCCGGCACCTTTTGCTACGGCGTTTTCTGCTGGATTAACGAGGGTGCTGGATTAAGAAATCCTGCCCTCTGACCCGCCCTACCCAATTGCATGCATGTATCATACGTCAAAACGCAGGGTTTTTCCGTGTCGACCCAAGTATTTGGTGCACGGCTTTATATTCTCTATTGTTCTCCGGGAATATACACAGTGATAAAGTGATAATGTAAAACAGAGAACATGTTCACATGTACTCTTGCACACACACGCACACACACCTGAAAATTGGCAGGACACTACTCCTTGCTATTAAAATAAGAAAGTTTGGTTGACTGCTTAGCCGTTGTCTCCTGGACAACATTGACCAGACTGGCCTAGCCTGGCCTGGCAAGGAGTGCACCTGTACTGCCGGATTATGAAATCAAACTACGTGCAGTTTGAGTGATTCGTTTCAAAAAGTCACTGCCGGAGGCGGAATTCAAGTGCCGGATTAGAGAGGGACGACTGTACTTGGTATGCTTGGCTTGAGAAACATGATATCCTTCAAGTTCAGGTGAAATTTAATTATCATTATTATCTACTGTATAGCAGGAAATTTTCGGACGGAAATATTTTCGGACAAAGCCGAATTTCGACCTTTCGTACGGATTATATTTTCGTACAGTGCTGCATGCTAAATACACGTGTTCGCATGCAGTACGCATGTATAGTTTACATAATTTCACATGAACAAATTTTAGTACGGAATTAATTTTAGTACAAAAGAGGCCGTGTACGAAATCGTACGAAAATAAATTCCGTCCGAAAATTTCCTGCTATACAGTATCATATAATGTGACCTATAGAACTTGACTAAAGCCGACTCCTCTTGGCGATCTGTCAAGCTGCTTGGCTCTTTGTTAGGGTCCGCAGAGGATATTCAGGCAAGAATAGGTGCTGCGAATAGAGCGTTCGGCTCCATTTCGTGGAAGCGTCATAAACTGAGCTCCAGACTTTGTATGTTCTCTGCCCTCATTTTGCCTATCCTGTTGTAGAACTGCGGACTGTGGGCCCTGACACAGAAACTCAGTAATCGGCTGGACGCATGGCACCGCAGAAAATTGCGGTACCTGCTTGGTGTGGTATACCCTCACCACATGTCGAATGCCAAGGTGTACGCCTCAACGCGACAAGGCCCAGTCAGCACTACCTGTCGCAGACGTCGGCTGCTCTGGCTGGGCCATGTTGTTCGCGAAGGACGTAACTCAGCGTCCTACCAAGCACTGGAGATGGCAATTAATACCCGGGACATCGAGCGCCCACGTGGCCGACCCCATCTCAGATGGATTGACAATATTAAAAATGATCTAAAGCACGCCAATATTGATATTTCTGACTGTTTTGAACTGGCTCTAGACAAGAAAGAATGGCTGATGCTTGTGGAAAAATGTGCCGCGCTTGCGTAGTTGTTCTTACTGCGATACGTTCTAACAATAATGAGATGCCTTTTGTCGGCTCTTCTGCCTGGATTTCGTTGACAGATGCGTTTTAAGCCCATGGATCCTTCCATGAGTGACATGCGAACTGTAACTATTATTATTATTATAGAACTTGAAGCGGAGTGGAGTAGCAGCGTAGAGGGCAGTGAGAGCTAGATATTCTGAACCAGCTTTCTGATCTCACCTCTTCCTTCGCCTTTGCTTTAGCCACTTCAATCTGCTGCGTAGCTTCCTCGTCCAGCTGCATTGCTCGTTGATCCAAGTCCCGTGTCTCCCTAATCCCAGTTTCAGACGAAAAACAACACCAGACGAGCCATGCACGTACAGAATAGACGTAAATACAAACATATACTTCGAAGTAGCTTCATTGGCCAGCATGAGGCCATGGCCGTACATGTTCCGTGTTGTGTGCTCAGGAAATAGGCAGATCAAGTAGAGAAAAGAGATGCAGGAATCTGTGTCAAAGTGGGTGGAAAAATAGCAGGCATAGCTGAGGACAGACTGAGTGTGCTTGTACATAACTCAAGACCTTAACTAATCAACCCACGTGACCATGGAATAAGTAGTGCTCTTGAAGTTCAGCAGATATTGCTTCAGTCGAGGTGAAGAGCCCACAACGCCAGCGAACACCTTCTATTAAGACTTCTACTTCCGTAAGTATTCAATTTCAGTACCGCGTTGCAATACCTATACTGCTGTGCTCTTTATCCTTGGCCAAACCTAATGGCCATGATGCATAGCTACATTCACACATGAACTTGCGAGGCACATACTAACTAACGGTTGATAGACCTGCTCAGAACAATGGAATAGTCACATGATGCTGTCTAACGATCTTCCAGTGCAATGCGGAAACTGGATGTTAAAGCGACAGCAGCCTACGGTCTCCTGTATATGCGTGATCGGTTGCCATGTTTTCATATGACCCTGCTTATTTACCTTGCCAAATCCGTCTTCAGCTGCTCCTTCTGGCGCTCAGCATCTTGTAGTTGCTGTGATATCCCATCTAAGAAGCTTGCAAAGCCATCGAGCAGTTCCGGCTGACTGGCCTTCATGTTTTCCCATAGCTGCCGCACCTCTCCATGACTGTAAATACAAACACACAAACAGCAAACAGGGACATGTTCACGTGCATGCATGCACACAAAAACAAACGTGACAGAATAATGCACGGTTCGTTTGAATCCCAGACTAAGTTTCCACATCCGTAGGAACACCACCACCCGTAGGCATCAGAAGTGACTGAATAACTTGACTAACTCCCAAAACATAGTCCTTTATCCCCATCAAGAAGACAGATGGGGCAATGTAAAGCTTGACACACACACACACACACACACACACACACACCTTCCTTCTTCTCCACTGCCATGACTGGCTAAGTGGCCCCATACGGGGCAGCTCTTGGATTAGCGCTGTCTCCGGGAAGCGGCACCAGAACCCGACGACTGACGTGACGGCGCATTCCCACGGGTTATAATTGCTATTGAACGCCGCGATGTACAACGATGCCGTGCGATATCCTGACGGCGGCGGCTCTCCTCGCGAATATTCGAACAAACTTTCCTTGATTTTTTTGCTTTGGACGCCGTATTCAAATTTCCGTCAGTGTCGACAAGAGTCCTGACGTTCCACGTTCCCAGAGACAGAACAACCTTTCGAGCCGCTGGTGCACGCGAGTGAAAAGACTCTGGGCGAGGGTTTGCAAGACCTCTACACCCAGGCGAAAGAGGGTCAGCGCGAGTGGTCACATCCGAAGTGGCCATGTCGTCAACGCTGAATTTTTCCTCCTCCGCGGCAGCAAGATGAAGACTGCCTTGTCTAACACCGCGTCACTAAGTGTTTTCTACTCACCAGGGCTGGCCCTGGCAGAAGCCAGGAGCCAGCCCGTGGCCCTAAACTCACTACGAAGAAAGAAGAGTTCGGAGCCCCAAAAACTGCTTCCTCCTCTCTCAAGAGAAAAAGAAAACACACACACACACACACACACACACACACACACACACACACACACACACACACACACACACACACACACACACACACACACACACACACACACACACACACACACACACACACACACACATAGACACTGATGGAAACTGCTTACTATTTCAAGTCTCCAATGCTAGCTTCATCTAATGTTACGTTCCTGGCGACTGCTGGACGAACCCCACCGCGGAAGCTCCCACTTCGTGCACGTATGCTCCCGCGACGCATAAGATTAGGCGATGCACTTGGAGATACATCATAAGATGGTCTGTGCAGAATGGGCGAGTCACCAGCTTTATCCACTAAGATCACAGGAGCTAGGTCGGCTGGTTGCACTACAACTGCTTGGGGAACGCCAATACCAAACTCAAGCAGAGACTGCCCAATGACTTGCTTGATGTTCGCCTCACTCATGTGTATGTTCAGTGCACTGGTGATGGTATTGGCCTCTGAATCAGTTAGTTGCCATCGGCTCACTAGAGCGTTGCGTAATGACACGCCGCTCGTGTCCGCATCGAAACGACGTACCAATTCGTCGAGGTCAGATTCCGACAGAGCCTGCTGTGGAGCAGCGCCGTGTGAGGAGTCATGCGGGTGTGCTGATGACGGTGGGCCGTGCGATACACCTTCGAATGATTCCTCGGCCTTCTGATGATGGTTATGATGGCGTGACGCAGCCTCCACAGCAGCGCCGTCCAGCTCATCATGGCCATCGTCAGCTCGGCAGGATTGCTGGTCTGCTGCCCAAGCAGCGAACTGCTCTACAAACGCCTCAAAGCTAACCTTTCCACTGTCACCATCCTCGTTCGTAGCCAGTTTAGAAAACAGAACGTCCACGTCCTGGGCAGTTAGATCGTCCAAATGCAGCCTCTGACATCCATCCAGCAAGCTCTGCTTGGAGATGAATCCACTGCCGGATGGGTCGCAGGCATCAAACAGCTGCCGCAGCGACGAGCGGTCCAGAAGCTCATCGTCTGCCATTGACAAAATGACACACCACGTTACGATTCGACTGACAATCGGGGGTTCAAACTGCTACCGGATAGCCGCTAGCGCTAGCAAAGTCTATCTTACAAGTGTCAGCAAAAAGTCAGTGGAATTCTATTACAAAAAAACTGGACATCGTATTTGCTCATTCTAATGGGGTTCTCTTTATTCCAAAATGTCCAAGATGATCAGTTGGGTGCACTGGGGGATAGTGGACTTGCCGAGCTTGGCCTGGGCTGCCAGGACTTTGGAGAGTGTGATAGCAAGCTCGTCTCCAAATTCAGACTAATACTGCTGTAGTGATAACGGCAATCACAAGCCACTGCTGGGGGTACCCACTGCTGCTTTGCAGAAGCTCCTGTCCCGGCACACCGGTCCGCGCTGCGCTCAGTTGGACGCTGGATTCCAGTTGCGGATACTGCCTGAGCATGGAACTTGGAAGAGCACAGCAATGCACACCGGGCGCACTGTGAAATTCTCTACATTCGCCGATTCTAGCTCAGATAGGCAGGTTACTGACGCCTACAGCACAGGAACGAGCGCAACTACCACTGATATCCACCGGCAATAGGCGGCATGCACCACCACGCGGCTTTTGAACATGAATTTTGACGGCAGCGCACGTGTAGTGTTGATAGCTACTCACATAATATTATTCTATTTGTAGCCGTGTGCTGCTGAGAATGACAGCCATGTACAGTACAATTATGTATGAGTCGGAGGAGAAAAAAAGTTCCAACCACGACTCGACTACTGTCTACTGTAGTACTGAGTCTGTCAGTACTGATGGCATGCCGTCATGGTACTGACAGTCACTGTTCTCTGTACTGACTACTGCAGTACTGGAGTACTGGAGTCACATCATACACATCAGTCATCGGTAAATCCTCTGTATCTGGTAGATCTACATGTGCTCGGAGACTACAAATTACACACAGTACTAGTACAATGTAGTGACCATTGCAACTGGTGTCTGGAGACGGTGGTGTCGTTTTTATATTGGCTCGCTGACGTCTAGTCCGTTGGAAAAAGGTCGATGTAATTGTTCTGTGAGTGTGCGTATGCCGTATGGTCAGTCGACTGTCAAGTGACAGGAGGCAAGAAGTACACCAAGGCCATGTCTACGCCGACCGTCCGTACACCATCTACACGCCTTCTTCAAGTTCTTGATGACGCTAAGGCGGGTTTACAATCATGCTCGTCCTGCAGTACCGCCGCTACCGGTGTTCATGGTATTAATTTTTTAAATGACCCCTATGATTTCCCTCATACACAAGCGGTCAAATATCCTGCATATTTGACTAAGTAGCCAACAACTCTCATAATGACTAAGTAGTTAAAATATGCAACTGACTCCTTTCGGAAATGCTATTGCCGTATTGGATGAATGCGGGGAAAAAGAAGAAGTTGAATACCGGTCTGTCTCTATAAGGCATAGGCGTGAGCTGGAAAGACTTTGGGGGACCTCGGTCCTTTACACGCGTTCTATCACACATACATGTAGGCCTGATAGGGCCTAGCTGGTCTATTCCATACGTGCTTCTACCAACTAGCACTAGCAGTAAAGCATCATATTTCCGGTGTCCTTTTCCTTCTTTGCATCATCATAATTTTTATGCTGTCAATACAAACACGCTTCCAAGCAGTAAAGACTGAAGAGTAAAGTACTATGATTGTTACATAGTATGTACATGATTATATTCCCACTACTTCACTCTTCAGTACAATCATACAGTCATGTTGTTCTGCCTTGTGTAGTCCCACTACTTCAGTACATAATTATGTACCGGTATAATGTAGTTAGAAGGCCATTCTTATCGCAGCCTTTAATACAGGTAACAGGACTACCGTACACCGGGTACACTGACTGGTGCCAACCAATGGGTCAGATTGGTTCTGTCGTCCACATTAAATTTTGTTCTGCAGTTCCCGTTTCCGTGATGATAAGTTTGTCTTGTTTTTGTTTTTTTACTTCATTCGCCCTTCAGTTGACAATCGACCCCTGCTCTGGCAGTGTTGGATAGTCCGATTTAATTAAAATAACACACACACACACAACAAGAATGTCCTGTAACTAACCAACTACTAACTAGACAGATTTGCAATCGGATGGCGAGCCAATTGTATTCATGGAGAGGAACAGGAAGAGAGGAAGGGGGAGAGAGAGAGAGAGAGAGAGAGAGAGAGAGAGAGAGAGAGAGAGAGAGAGAGAGAGAGAGAGAGAGAGAGAGAGAGAGAGAGAGAGAGAGAGAGAGAGAGAGAGAGAGAGAGAGAGAGAGAGAGAGAGAGAGAGAGAGAGAGAGAGGAATGACAAAAGCGTTTTGAAGAATTATGACTAACGGTCCACCAATGTTATCGGAGAATTCATTGGTTACATTGCCGGACCGTTAGTCAACCCCATAACAGTTTGTCTTCCTCTTATCCGGAACTATACTGAAGTCAACCGAAGTAGCGGTGAGGCATCCTGATGATGGCAATTTGCCGAAACGTTGAAAATGATTCTGTGAAATGAAATGAGTTGTGAATTTGCAGTGCCAAGGGAATAAGCATGACTTGTGTGCTCACCAATATACTGAAGTCAATTTTAAAAATGAGGTTCAAATTTGCCTGCCCTCATGCAAAGCTCGCTGCGTTACCATGGTTGTCGGGTTCAGAGAACACTGGCTTTGTAGTGGTTTTTTGTTTTTGTTTTTAATTGCAAGTCAAACAGGTAATCATGCCCAATGTCATGATGACGATGGAAAGGGAGAAAAGATTTTAAAAGAACAAGATTAGATCACCTGGATAAGTGGAGTGAAGAAAACAGTGTCAGTGAGCCGAGGAATCTCTAGCTCTCAGGGCAATAATATAAGGATCATCTTAACATTGGCCATGAAAGTAAACTTTCATTGGACGCGTGAATTGAGATGTCAGATGGTGAGCCAAGGAAAAAATTGTAACATGGAAAAATGTGGGCACAAGTTATGCGATCGAGTCCACCAACCAAATCAGATTTTGAGCAGTCAGACGTGCACAATCTAGCACAAAACTAACAAGCTTCCCCTTCATATTTTCATTTCTGATAATATCAAGCCTCCCAAGTTGGGTGGCAGGGGCGTGCTCGGCCCCCCAACTAGGGGGGGGGGGTGCACGGGAGCCGAGGGGAGCCCCCCCGGCAATTTTCTGCAATTTGTTTGCAACCTTTCTTGAATTTAGAGCATATTTACATACATTACAATTGCAATTACCCAGATTGAAAATGTTTGGGGGGTGCACGTGCCCATCGCCGAGCACGCGCCTGGGTGGTTGTTGCTTTGTGTTGTCGAATTGTGGTTTAACCATTCTGTCTGGTCTTGCCGTCCCGTCATCATACCAGGCCAGCATTCCATGAAGCCTTGGAATGTAGCTTGGGCTCGGCTCGATGGCGCTTACCTTCCCCTCTTTGGAATTAGCACTAATATCCATGAACCTACCAAGTCGGAAGGCCGTTGCTTTGTTCAGTCTGGTTAGTTACACTGTTTTTTTAAGTTATACCGGTCTTGTTTCTGAGTCAATGAAGGAGTCAGGTACTGCATGGGAGAGCTAACCTAGGACATAGTACTTTGAGAACGGGTATATTTACAACACCAATTGGGCCAATCGCGTGAAAGCATGAGTAAGAAGCAAAGCAGAAAGACAACCCAAATTCGGATATCAATGAAACACTCAATTGAAATGTAAGATTGAACACAAAAGCTTGACAAGAAAATCGTTACCTAATAAAATTGCCTACCGGCATGCAAAGGCAAAGTCACGCCTCTGGCCGTATCGGCACTATGCTGCAAAGGGGCTCCCGACCTTGCGGCGAATGTAAGAGGCCCTGCAGCCCCTAAAGCTCGTGACTGCCCATGGCAGGAGGCGAAACGTAACCCGGGTGCGTAACTCACCTATCACGGCAGAATATACCAAGTCTTTGTTTTTGTCTTCAACCAAAGCAGCTATTATAGCGACTTCAGAAAAAATAGTGGTTTCTTTGCCCGCCACACCCGAGGTCGAAAACACCAGTGGGGTAAATGATGCTCACTGCACCTATTTGACTCTGAGCCGCCTTCTTCATTCTCTCGTCTGTTCTCAGGTGGCTAAAGATTTCCGGACGAGACAGAAAGTGTAGTACTGCTCCGAGAGTAGAAGTAAAGACGTATCCCGATGCCATGGGCAGCAGGAAAGTATCCGAGGAAACGAAGTTCTTGTCCATTGACCAATCAGTTGAAATGGTGGCGCTTTGGCTACATGTATCATGCATCTTGGATAGCGGAAGGCATGGTAAGGGTCTCTTATTTGTTTCCTTGGACATCCTGCATGGCACACTCATGTATTATTTCTCTACATTTTTGGCGTTATCTTCAGTTGAGCATGACTCATAACAAGTTCCTTCACCACAAGAATTCGAACTGAGAGAGTCCAAGTGCGACACTGACTCACGCTGCTGCCTGGTGCTCCCGAGGTGTTTGTCGCGCTGGAAATGGAGCGTCTCTGTAACTTGATGATATTAATTGTGTACAAGGCGATGCCTGGAGAGCACTACAATGTATAATAAGTGGTGCTCTTCAGGCACACTCTTCCTCAGCCTACTCAAGCTCTGATGGGGGGGGGGGGGGGGGGGTAAATTCCCCAACACTGTGAGCAGGGAGTGGTGCTTTCTTGCCGAGTGGACGGCAATTGTTTTTTGTTTTGTTTTTAAGAAGAGGTTGGTGCAACTTCGGCGATACTTGGGGAATTATGTGTTGCTCTCTACGTGGGAGCTCTCGCTTTTCCTGCCGACTTGAATTCTCACTTGACTGACTCACGACTGCCATCCAGAGCACACGAGAAGTCCATCGAACCTTCCACTCGGCAAACCTGCAAGAAAGCACCACTCCCTGCTCAATACACAGTGTTTCTGGAATTCATCCCTCATCAGTTGAGCTTGAGTAGGCTGAGGAAGATCGTGTCTGAAAAGCACCACTTACATTGTATATAGTGCTCTCCAGACCAAACCATCACCAGGGATACAAACTTACAGAGACGCTCCATTTCCGGCGCGACAATTATCTCGTGAACACCAGATAGCAGCGTGAGTCAATGTCGCTCATGGTCCCATGGAGGTGCCGAACAACGTTTGGTTATTGTTTTTTAGACTAGGAGCGTATCATCCCTACAAATAATAGGGGTAATGAAAGAGACAACGACAAAAACAAGGACAACAAAGGAGTACTTCAAAAGTAGTAGGTGCTGCGAGAGCTGTGCTGATCAAGGCGCATTGCACTCCTCCAATCATTCCGGTCTCGGAATCAACATGTACTGGGCGGGCCAAGGGGGTATACTATGAATGGTAGACTTAGACTGATACTTATACGAAGTAAGAGCATCTGAAAAATGCTGTGTTCCAGACGGCAGTCGCGAGTCAGTCAAGTGTTAGTCAGTCGGCAGGAAGCGCGAGCTAGCAGCCACCTTCTTCCACAAGAACAATGAATTCATTGTGTTTATTTATTTTCATTATTTGCCCGTAAACGAGGCTAGTGATAGAGAGATTTGGCACCTCTGCCTCCAAGGCACCTATAACTACACCTCTGCCTCCAAGGCACCTATAACTACACCTCTGCCTCCAAGGCACCTATAACTACACCTCTGCCTCCAACTTCCAAGGCACCTATAACTACAGGTACAGTGCCACCTACTACTACTAACATAAACATGATCGGTTGACAGCATGTTACCAGGCGGAGGACGCACTGTGTTGCAAACAGCCTAAAACAGAGCCGTCAGATGAGAAAACAGACCTTATCACAAAAAAGTCATATTTTTGTTTGTGGTGCTATCTGATTGCCAGGAGCACCAGGAATCGTATGCAGAAAACTAGAGTTGATTTGGACCAGGGAAAGTTAAGTTATAGCCTCGACAGTAGGAGACCATTACAAATTGCACCTCAATTTTGGGTGCAATACCAACAATTGTTTCACCTACTTTGGATAATATTTTCTGTTTCCTTTGACCGATTTCCACAAACTTGGGCTTTCTGGAAAGCTCTGGCGACAAGCAACCCGTTGGGCCCAAATCCGATAGCAAATAAAGCACAGCTCCAGCGCAACAAGCGGCAGACATCGCTTCAGCGCTAGACTTGCGCCGTCACACGAAAATCGCTCGCCATTTCCATCTCCATTATCCCAGGACGCCCAATTTTTTTCGTGAAGATGCAGTGAGAGCTTCCAAGACGTCTGAGCCTGTTGCCGAGATCGTAGATCGCTTGAAAAGGGGGAAATCCCTGGTCTGGAGCGTTTGACTCGCGTGCAGAAATGCAAAGTGCCGTGACGTATCTTGCAGGCTTCGCATCTCGGGAACGCAGCATCGTGCCGCGATCGCGCTTGCTGCATTGGATTCCTTGGAGTTTTCTATTCGATTTACATACTTGGATTGTCCCAAAAGACCGATATTTGACTGAAATACGACGGTTTGTAGCTTGGCTGTCCAGACGCACCAGTGGGTAAACTCGCCAACTTTCAAGTGCACTTTTCTGCACTGTACAGTTTTTGCGATAAGGTCTGTTTTCTCATCTGACGGCTCTGTTACTTATGACTCCATGTATAACTCCATGTATTGCATATTCGCATATTCATCCACTGTGTTTCTTTTGCCCGTAGGAGAGGCTTCATCAACAAAAAAAAACAAAAAAAGATAACTCCATGGTATGAGGGTACGAACCGGGGCTCTGTCAGCCGATGGTGGTTGTAGTGAGGAGGACTGTTTTCAACACACACACCGGTGTGGCCTCCGCCTTGTAAAGTTTGGTTGGCTTCCGACGCAATGCCGACAGTACTATGTGTGTGTGTGTGTGTGTGTGTGTGTGTGTGTGTGTGCGTGTGTGCGTGTGTGTGTGCGTGTGTGTGTGTGTGTGCGTGTGTGTGTGTGTGTGTGTGCTGTTGGATGGTGTAATCCCAGCACAAGTTAGTTGCTATGTCTAAAACATAGCTGTTCGCTATCATCGCTCCCGCGATGGGCATGTCTGAGGTCTGAGGTGTGGTAGTATGTCACTATGTCTAGTGTCACACACACATACACACACACACGCACACAAACACACACAAACACACACACACACACGTATTGTACAGTAACCTTAGGCAGAGTAGCTCAGAACATCAGAACATGGTATGTAAGCCTTGCTTATGGTGATGGGACAGCATACCACAATGCGTATCCCCAGAGGAGGAAAACAGTGTTCCTGATCGCAACCGGAAACCGCCAAGGCAGAGTCCCGTTCTTGCGACAATCTGAATCTTATGGCATCAAACCTCATGGGGTCCAGCCCCGCCACACACCCTAGAATAGTTTAGAGGGCCTGAAGCAACCAGGCTTGCTGTCACCATCATCATCAAAAATCATGCACAGGTACCGTGACTCTGCAGGCCACCCGTCCAGGGTGTGTGAGAAACTACTGGCACGTCGTTGTTGGTGGAGGACTTTACTCATGCATTATCACTCTACACTCTAGCTTAGGATGGGTGCCACACGTCTTGATACAAAGACAAAGTAGTTTTTACTTGATTGCCATAGAATACAAATACAAACGTAGTGCTCCATTTAGAGGCGATTTACACGACGGTAGTGCATTAGGCCTAGACAGATCCTGCCGGCAAGTCTTTCGGCAAAATATCGAAGAATTGAAAGAGCGGAAATTGCCGGCAAAATCGGAGCAAAATATTATTATCGAGATGTTGGGTAAAATCGATGCCTGATACTTGGATTTCCTTGTTTCTTACACGTTCAGCAGGATACACTGCCCAGGACGAGATCATGTCACCGAAATGTCACTGGGTTTCACTGTGGATCGACATGATTTTGGAAGAACTCAGGGACACGTGCGTGGAAACGGGATTATACGGGAAGTGGATAAAATACACATTTTTCCGGAGCAAAATGGAGCAAAATACCGAGTTTCTTGTGCCAGGCTCGGCAAAATATCGAAGATTTCGCAGCAACATTTAGCAGAATCTGTCTGGGCCTATACACTGTATAGACTGAGTTTAGTGCATCCCGCCGGGAAGTGAAGCACGTGAACACAAGAGTGTGCTGTGATACGGGGAAAACGAAAATCAATTCACACGGCTGGATGCACGTACAATATCTCCCCCCCCCCCCTCACGGCACCGGGACCGAACCGGGATAGCTCGCAGGATATGTTCGTGCCAAAATATGAGTATGTGACTGATTCTCCATGCGGCACGGTACGGCAGGAGCCACGGAATGAACTCGCGCCATAACTGCCCCTCACGTGAGCAAATCACCATGGGTACTCACGGCACGGCACTCTCGGTACCGTAGTGGGAATCGGCCCTTTAATAGGCCACGCTGTTTTTTTCTATGTTTCGCGTCACCTTATTCGATGAAATCAATGAGGGAGGGCGAAAAAAATAAAAAAAAGCCATCCAAAAAAAAAACAGTGTACGTGCATTGCATTTGTGTACAGTGAAGCGACACGGCACTAGTGCACTGTTCATGTACATGTACTGTACATGAATACATGAGTGTATCCCCTCTGCCATGCTTGTGGTCCAAACACAGGCGGCATGATGATTGTGTGACTTGCGGTCCAGCTTATTGCACACACATGTACAATGTACCAGGTACATGTGTGTGAGCTGAGTTCAAGTGACATTTTCCGGTTTTCTGGGTTTGCATTAAAAAATTTGTATTGCATTTTCAAAAAAGAAAAATTTTTGTTCCGTTTTTTTTAATTTTTTTAACTCCGGCTGTGAAATACATGCGCGCGGGGGACGCGAAACAGAGATAAAAAACGGTGTGGCCTTATGGAAGTACAGAGTACACATAATGTACATGTAAGTGTACATCTTTCACTTCACATAGAAACCCTGCCATGTCACATAACATAGAGGGGAGCCAGTCCAGCACCTTCATGACCTGGCTACAGCGACCAGCACAACGGTATCAGTGCCTGCAACAAAATTAAATGCACACGCATGTGCCGCATATGTACACATGAATGCTGCACTGTGCGTGTAGCCGATTTGGCTCAGTCCCATACCAAAGGGAGCAACAGATATTCGCTTTTTTTAAGTGACTTACTAGCAACATCGAAGCCAGTTACGTTGGAACCAGGGGCAGGGCCAGAGATCTCTACAGGGGTGTTCCAGTTTAGCCAAAGCACCCCCCCCCCCCCCCCCACACACACACACCCATGGATCCGCCTCTGTGAACTGACAAAGGACTCCAAAGGAGAGCCGGAATCAACGATTCTCAACATAGCCTGCGCCCTAACCCTTTCAGTAAAACAATGTTGAGCTTCTTGAGAGGACAGAGTTTGTCCTAATGCCATTCAAAGCAGGCGGAACCTTACCATTCACTAGCTAATGATCACTGCTGATAGTCACGCAGCTTAACGCATCTCTAGCTAGAACTATTTTAGCAAGCTCTAGAAACGTTTTTGATTTCGAAGTGTCAATGCCTGGTTGTGTGTGCCGTACACCACACTCTGGAGAGATTCAAGAGTTGCCATCCTCACAGACACTCTACACGACTAGAAGTTTGTAAAGAGTATAAATAAAATAGAAGCAGAAGCTAACAGCCATATCTTCCAGGAATGGTACCATGATAAATTGCGGAATTTTTTATAAGTCAAGATCAAGCAGACTTTAGGAGTGTGGATCACAACTATCAGTGTGTTTGCAAATGAGTCAGCAAGCTACATCATCATCATCACATATCATCACTATGGCTGTGTAGTGTCAGGCAGTGAGACAGAACACAGCTGAGGCAAATGGTCCTGGGGTCGCCTCAAGCCCCGACATAGCACGCACCCATAGAATGTAGCTGGAGTCATTGTGTAGCTCAGCAAGCTGCACTTGGATACTTACTGCTTGTGTCATGAATGCTTTGTAATCCGCTCTACTCGCACCCTGAATCCACACCTCATACCAAATTGCATTCTCTTCTGAATTTGATGCGACATGCTCTGCATTGCGCAACATTGCATAATCCACATTCCAAGGTTTCTTCCATTGGCCAAGGATACCATCGCCACGAGTTTGGCAAGACACATCCCCAGGTCGGTCTGTACAGAAAGGAAAATACAACAGGCAAACAAGCTCATGAACACACAAACACCCATGCATGCGTGCAAACACGCACCCCCCCCCCCCCCCCCCCCCCCACAAGTGTAGCAAAATTCAGACCATCACGGAATTCAAGGCTTCTCAACACGTGTGTCGAATCCCCACCACATCCAACACTCGGGTTCACAATGCCACTTCAGCTACTGCTGTGTTGCAAAACAATGCCTGCAGTGGAGAAAAGTCGTTCCATAGTATCTTACCTAGAAACATTGGCAAAGTTCCAGTATGAGATTCACCCTGTTTAGCTAGCCTTCGTCTAAGTTGTTCAGCGGCCTCATCCAAATCATCAACTGCTGCCGAGAGGCTTGCAATGTCAATCGTTGTGTCCTGCGAGCGACAGGAAGATGGGCAAACGCGACAGTACTGGTATGTCTCACAGAAGAGATGCACACAGGCAGTACGGGGATCAGAGAGATCCTGCCAGACTTGCAAATATGTAAAACACACCTTCATCATTTACACCACACTGATGATAAGGCCTTGGTGACGGAGGGGGAGGGGGGGGGGTTACAGAATCAATCTGTTGCAACTATGAAAGCATGCCATTTCAGCTGACAAAGACCCAGCGGAAGAAGGCGCAGTGCCCAAACTCACAGCTGCTCACGTCATCTTGCTCACCTGATAGATTCGGTATAGCCATTCTGGATCGTCGCAGCAGGGCTTTGGCAAGACAAGAGAGCTACGCTTGATCTGGTTCTGCTCACTGGCAGGTAGATGTGAAAGTCCTCCCAGCTCTTTGCCTCTATCAGCGTGAGTTACAGTAAGTCTTTCATTCGTGTTAACCCATGCATCATAGACAAGATAGTCACCTAGCAGTCCTGCCATGGTCTTGTATGGCGTGAACTTGTCAGCAGCAATAGCAAACGGAAAGAGTTCCAGGAGTGCGGCGCCAGGAGGCAAGAACATGGCGAGAATCAGAGCAGAGCCGTGCATCCCTGTGAACGGAGGAGATACAGAAATCTGAGTTAGGGATCGGTGGAAAACCTCACAACATTATTGAGAAAGTGAGCATCATCAGTAATGCATCTATGACATGCTGGTACACTCAGCTGTCCCTTAGCTGGACCTCCCCCTGTATCCGGGAACCTTTCTCAACCGGGCACCTTTCAGGGTCTGCTGAGCAGTACTTGTATCACTACATGCATACTCAACGCGTGCAGTTCACCCGTTCTCCGTTGAGTATCTATCTATGTGACTCAACCCAGTGACAAGTTGTGCAGATGTGCAGTTACACTCTTCAGAGTCGTAGACACGCTCTCCGCTAAGATTGAGTGTATCACTTTCCATTCATACTTTGAAGTATCTTTATGATTCTAGCGAAGGGAGGGGGGGGGGGGGGTCCCGGTGTTGGGGCAAAGTCCCCTCCACACTGGAAATAGTGCCACCCCTGTTCACTTTGATTTAGTTCGAAGGCTCCACCACATGCAGTCTCTGGCTGACGTACACACCAGCAACACACCTCCAAGTTGTAGACACTGGCAAAAAATAATTTCCCCGTATACTCCATCATGAGATTCACTCCAGTCCAATGCATATCAGTTAGAGGATGATTTGACGCGACTACAAACTGAGATGAGTCTTGCTCGTCTTGATTCAGGTACCAGGGCTTGAAAGCCTCAGTTTGTCCTTGGGAACTCTACAGTTGCTAATCTGGTGCCTATTGTGATGGAGAGGAGGTGAATGCAGTATAGTGGCTCGTCATCTTCTTTATGTTGAACTCACTGTGGTAGAAGTTGATGCAGGTGACCTTGAACATGCTGGCTGGTAGTGAGGATCTGGCGTTGCTGTTCACAAAGTTCAGCAAGCTGACACCAGTTTTGCTAGTTTCACTGCGTCTATTGCAGAATGCAAGCACGCGTTGTCCACAGTGAAGACAAAGCTCCCCGTCCGCATTGCCTGTTTGTTTCCGAAGGCAATATCGGAAAAATGATTCTCACTTACATTGCACCCCCACCATATATCCAGAGTACAATATGCCGTATGTGATGCAGTAGAATGAAGACCTGAGTAGAATAGCTCGCCCTTTCGACAACAGCAGGGACCACCCAGGGTATATTGTTAAGTTAAGATAAAAGGTACATTCCGGAGTGTACTACTCAACTAATATTTTGAGCCTTGAATTGTAGCATTAAAAAAAAAAAAAAAAAATTTCACGGTTCGCGTGAGACTCGGCTGGAAGCCGGGTTTTCCGCATCCGTAGGAACGCCACCACCCTTCAAGGATCAAGGCGCAGATGCAGCTCCTAAAGCGGTGGGAGGTGAGTAGATCAGCTCACCAGCAAGTGGTCAAAGACCGAAAATCCCATTCACTGCATCCATGTTTTCCTCGTGCCAGGCCACGAGTTCCCAATTAACTGTGGGTCGCAGCACGGCTGGAAAAAATCCTTCCGCTTCCAAGCATTTGAACTTGTACTTGTAGCATTATGTTGAAGCTAATGTGCACATAGAGTTCTCATTAAAGTCCAGGAAATTTGGGACGTATTTCGAACTTACCAACAAGAGTATGGCAGCAGCGCATGGCCGCTATGAGCTCTTGAGGAGACTTCTCCTCGATGTAAATAACATCAGTTGGCAATGAGTATCTCTCTGTTAGCCAGGACACCAGTTCTTGCTCGTTGAGGATCAGACGTGTATGCTTCCTGGCAAGAATGCAGGTGTGCCATGTATCCCGGTGTTCAATGGAGCTGCTGAAAGATTCAGGGACTCTACCTGGGTGGAGAGAGACAGAATAGAAGTAAGCTCCTTACAGCATACACATGGCCTGACAGCACTATTATGACGAATAGGTGATAGGCGGCACCGACACAAAAAATTATTTAAAAAATAGACAATCAAGTAGCGTGTTGCACTGTCCGAAGAGTGCTGAATAGCTATATAGGACAGAGCCTTCCACACGAGAGAGAGAGAGAGAGAGAGAGAGAGAGAGAGAGAGAGAGAGAGAGAGAGAGAGAGAGAGAGAGAGAGAGAGAGAGAGAGAGAGAGCTGTGTTGCAACTCCGAGTTTCACGTAGTCACGATCATCAAGCAAAAACAATGAAAAATCAGATGAAGCTTTCCGCTTATTAGTTCTAAGTGTTTGAGGTACTTCGAAGTAAGAGAGATTTAGGGTAGGATTATACCCTGACTGATGCTTAACTTGAACTCAGTCTAACTGAATCTCAAGTGAACTATGGATTTTTTAATTTTTATACCCTGACTCAGCCAGGGCGTTTCTTTCTTATTCACCCTGGTCAATGGCACAAGGAAAGTACTCTTCACATTGATGAAAGGCAAACGCTACCACATGATGTGTATAGTGGCATCTGCCCTTGCTGCATGGGCAGAGCGACTGAGACCAGCAGTTGAACATCCTGTGTTTAAGGAACGTATTGTATTGCATGGGCTCCGTCCATACAAAGTGAGCGTGTCCAGTGAAATATTCCGCGCTACATTACAGAATAGTTAACATACTCATGTTTTCTCCATTATCCTAACTTGCCTGGCTGCTGTAAGCCATAGGACACATACGCGAACTTCACGAACTGACGAATATGTGCAGCTGAGGCATTGCTATCAGGAATGGCACCTTGTGGTCCTGAATCAAAACCGTACTGATACCAGGTAGAGGTCTTGTCCAGACCTATGGTTGCATGCTCAAAACATGTCAACGTGTCCGCACCTAAGACAGCAGACACAAATGCATAGGCAAACATGAGTTGAAAGTGCGAAGGCACAAATGAGCCAGCCGGACACTTTGGACAGAACACGAATCCCTCTGGACAGGTAAACCAAAGCAGGTATAATAAACAGGTAAAAACAAAACGAACTGCTATAATATCGACTCGGGTGGAGAGCCAAGGATTAATTTATAAGAAGAAATGAGGACCAAGGAACTACAAGTTGCGCTATAATGTCCACTAACACCACCAGTTACTTAACAATCAGCTCATGCGATACCATAGCACGACACTGACCAACGGTACTGACAGTCTACACCAAACTGGCAATCAGCTCGAGGACATCTTGGATGCGCACTCCCACAGCCTTCCAAGCTGGACGGTTGTTGGAGTGCGCATACAGGATGTCCTTGTGTTCCCACTCTGATACTGTCGACTACAGCAAATTTCGGGCCAAATTCCAAAATAGCAGCACAGACTGAGTAGTACCTGTGTGTACTGCCCAAACCTGGCACGATACAACCAGCCATGAGCCAGCAAAGGCCTCAATATGCCGAAATTATCGAGGTAGGAAGTTGATCTCGCCGTCAAACTGCCACTAACCCTGATTAACAGCTCGAGTACAGCTGCTCGCACACGGCGTACAACATGCAGATGGGTTTAATCCCAAGCCACACGGGCGTTGAGCTCCAGAGGAGGAAAGTGTGATTTGTCAGCACCATCTGCGTTGCTCATGTACAGCCACTTCTCTCACATATTATCGCACACATATGCATGGCTTTTCCAGATGTAAGCGAATGGAGACGAAACTTTACTTTAGTCTTTTCTGTTTTTGTTTTTTTACGCCTCATAACTTACCACGGCTATTGATATCAGACATACTGATCAGGAGACCTTTTCCAGAGAGCATTTGCAGCCATTCAAACCATGGTCCGTGATCGCGAGTATCAACAAACACCACTGATGGCCAATCGCATGCCTCATCTGACATGCCGGGACTGCGATCGCATGCCTCATCTGCCATGCCGGGACTGCGATCGCATGCCTCATCTGACATGCCGGGACTGCGATCGCATGCCTCTATTCCGGGCATGCCGGGACTGCGATCGCATGCCTCTATTCCGGGCATGCCGGGACTGCGATCGCATGTTCCAGATGCATACTTGTCATGCTGTTGGCTCGTGTGCCCTCGGCTGGGAGGCACATGCTGCTCGCCACCATGCAATGTTGATGTAGATGGGTCAGTGCTGGAGTGTGTTTTATGTTCACCGTCGCTCTGCACGGACCATACCTGTTGCGATGTGTCGTGCCCAGAATGCCGAGGGCCACACGTTCCGCCAAGTTCATGTTCCCGGGGAGGTTGATTATTAGTCACGGTGTGTCTGCAAGAACCCCAGCGTCGCAGCGTGTGGTATAGCGGCAGGATATCATCATGCAGCACATGCATGATGTTATCCGGGTGGAATCGTTTCAACAGAACATGCTGTCCAGCTTGGAAGACCACGTTGAGTCCAGCTAATGCATGCCGTGACACATCACTGAACTCAAAGTACATATTATTGTGCTTGTCCACGCTAGATAAGTCCAGGAACGCTTCGCTAAACCGGTCACGCGGCATGCCCGACTGTACCGAGTCTTCGCCATGAACAAACACAAAACTATCGTACCGCGGCCAGTAGCACAGGTTCTCAAATACGCAGCTCTGATCACGGCGCTCGGCATTGACGCCACAACGCAGGGATGACTCAATGTTTAGTGCAGCAAACCCCAACACTGTAGAAGATTCAGTAGCAACACGTTGCTGCTGGCTTTTATCCCGCATTCCTTCCATTATTCCGGACACGCAGATAGTAGCCACCATCCACTGTGACGTTGTAAGTAGAATTCTTATCATTTCTGTACATGTACACGTACTTACATACAACACCAGTCAACAGGAAATTGTTGAGAAGAGGAACAGTATATCTCGCGCTCGATGCACCGGTACCGAATAGCACTCGTAAGCGCTACTCGTGGACACCGAGCCACTGGACCATCCAGACGTCTCGAGGAGCAATTTCATTCTGCATGCACTCCAGGCCACGGGTTCTGCATGGCGGAGAACAACAGTGAAGTAACGTAGTTTGTCTCTCCTCTGTCGATGCCAGTTACAATGACTATGTGCCACAAACGGTAACTAATCGCCGGCCTTGATTGAGGGATCGAATCGCGAGTCAATAATAATACAATAATTATTGTTTTGAATATTGTGAGACAGGTAAACATTTTTTCAATTATTATTCATTTTTACAACCAAGAACCGCGCGTGTAGACTTCTACGTTCTAGTACAGTCATGTACATGACTCCAATCATGTTGAAAGTTCTACGTGTGCATTACAGTGCTAGTGTTGACTGAGTCTTTTCACCATGTTCACTAGTACACTACTGTTGTTGGTTGACAGCATGATTAGATTGTTATGACTGTAACTGTTGTTTGTTACAACAACTGTCTGTGTCAGTGCATGTGCCGACACCAAGAAATGAGTCAACTGAAGAAACTCCATGCTGGCCAGCGACCAACTGCTGGCATCCTTCTGCCAAAACTGCAAAAGGAAGAAAAGATGCTTGTGATGCGTATCACGTGTGGCAACGATACTCGATATACATAATCATTAGTGTCATGTAGAAGTACGTGTATGTTTGGTCACCCCGGATAGGAAGCTAGCTGTTTGGTTTTACTTCAAGTAATTAGTTCAAGTACTATCTGTACTCTGTAGTTCTAGGATCTAGCCCGCCGCTGCATGACTCGCATCACTGTCACACGTACCAGCGCGAGCGAGGCTCGGAGTCAGAGTGAGGGCAGAGTGAGCGAATGGCTGAACAACCAAACGCAAAGAGCACTTGTGACTACTTGAAATAGTGTTACGTAACGTGTGATAACAAAGGGGTCCACTAGTCCGTTCAGAAAAAGATGATAATTATCCTAGCTATAAAGGGGTCAAATTTTGAGTTTCGTCACAATTTTGTAGAGTACTTAGTTAGACCCCCTTATATAATTTATTTTATGGATTCCCCAAAGGCCGAGGTCCGAGTCGAGAGGGTCTCCGTTCATGGCTTACTGGGAATATATATCTGCAAAATTATAACATAAAGATTGAGAAGAGGAAGAGTTATAACAAATGCGTACTGTAGAAATCAGCCATACCATTCGTTACTATGTTACAGAAACTCTGGAAGGAATGAAACCAGCGGGTTCAAAGCGGGTGTTGGCAAAGATGGTACGGACACGAGACACAAAGCAAGGACTATTTTGGGTGGTTCTAATGTCAGTGGGGGAGAGAATGCCGGGTGGCAGCGGTAACAAAGAGGAAAGTGGCACGCGAGTAGGTGTTCGCCCTGGCAGGCGGGACAAGTTGGAGAGGGCGCCGCGCGCTTGTGAAGAGACTATAGGGGGTAGTATAGCCCAGCTCCATAAGGGCAGTGGTCTGGTGTGTCCCTTGGTATCACACACGGCTAGGTCTATCAACCAGTGTCCGGTAGAACCTCTTTTCACTCTGAGCAATGAATACCCGTATCAATTATTTATCTGGAAAACCTTACACACGCAATCTTCAATCCAAGTGGTCTCTTCGATATGATCCTGATGATGGCTACTGCAGTACTGGCCGAAAATACTTGATTGAGATAATTATTGTAATTTGCAGCGAAGAGACCACGTGGATTGAAGATGGTATGTGTAAGGTTTTCCAGATAATGAAGTGGCTGCAGTGGAGCTTGCGCACATTAAAGGGGAAGTGCATCGATTTTTCAAGTAGGGCTCAGATGATATCGGTTCCGATGGTGTAATCTGGTAATCTCTCGCCTCTGTACGATATTGCAAACTTGCCATATCGCCGATTTTCTGATTGCGTTTCCATGGCGACTACAGGTGATGACGCACATCCTGCTTAGCTCCGTGACCTGGTGACCATGGTGACTGCGTGAGAGAGAAGGTCGATCACTAGGCTCCGGCGGAATATGTTCGCGAAATCACGTAATTATGCTTTAATGGATTCTCGCATCATGCTCACAAAATCCTCATATTATGCTTTGGCACGCGAGGATACTTTGTTGTACTTATGGAGCCTCAAATTCAAAGTTCGGAAAATTGTACCTTTTTCGTACTTGCTACTTGCAAGTGGCCATAAGTGCAACAAAATGTTACATGAGTATCCCTACACCAAGGTGTCCATGAATGCTAGAGATCAACCTGGAAAAGAGAAAACAATCATTCAAGGCATTACTTCTTCTATTCATTAGTGGACTTCTTAAGTAAAAAATATTTTTCCATTGACAAAGTAGTTTGAGTTACCTTTGAAAATTATCATGTTCAACTGTGTTCATAATCGTCATGCTCGTCCAATGGATGTCACCCTCACCCTGCGATTAATCAGCTCATCTCTCCCGTAGCTCCACTTCTCCTTCCATCATGACCGAACATCAACTCTACTTCTTTTTTCTATAATCTTTAGAGCAATATCCATAGCCTGCACAGTCCGACTCATGGCTGCTAAGGTCCAGAGGTCATGACTTCGTAATAATGTACATGTACGCGGAGTTTTGGTATGGGGACAACCTGTCACTATCTCGTCCGCCCCGGGATACGTGATAAAGGCTGATTCTCTTGCATCTTCTGCTACATGTACTGTATCAGTGTCTGTGAGAAAGAACTTTGAAGAAGACGAGTTCGAGCATACAATACTGTATTACCATGATTTCTACGCGGCTTTTCATTGAAAACACAATCTGCATGACCTCCGAACCTTTAACATGCAGACCACCAGCACTGATCAGGTGCATTGTACACAAGTGTGTACTTCAAGTAGCATACATACATACTGTCCTGTCCTGTCCTGTAGAGTCACTGCCGCAAAAGGGTCACGTGATCCCATCACTGGGAAACTTGAGAAGAGAGAGAGAGAGAGGACACGACGCTCGATGACGCTCCAGGTGCACGGGTAGTCGCATCCGCTTGCCGCATATGCACACGTGCTGGAAGGCTGCGCGCTCCTCTGCTGTTGGTCTATGCGCCACCCTTGAACAGCGATGCCTTCCCCGTCCCCGGACACCGCGAAAGCAGCGACCACACCCGTCACAATGCGCGGCACAACATCCCTCCGCCGGTGCCGACATACATACTAGAACTGTGGTACAATCATGTAGTTATGCTCCTACCTCCGAAAGGATGCCAAAAATAAATTTTAATTAATATGCTCCAAATTTTCAACCACCAAATTATACCAATAATTATGCCGGCATAATCCGCCGGTGCCTATACAGCATTACATAATAGGTGTCAAACATAGTGCTAACATAATATAACTGAGTGCAGGCACAAAGCATGAGGTGATACAGTGCAACATGACAAGAAATTTGAAATTTTTGCTGAACATTTCTCAGGATTTTTGGAAAAGCCCGTTTCTTTCCCACTTCCATCCAATATGCCGCCGCCCCCGCTGTGTAGCATCTGATGGTTCTGTGGACTTCAGTAAAAAATAAAATACACAAAGGCACACAATGAAAACCTTGGCAAATTAATTCCGTTGTGACTCAGAGTTTCATGGCTGAACCAATCATCAGACAACGATAATGGAATAGGAGGCAGCGCTGGTATATCTAAGTGGAGAGAGGTGTGATAATACGATAGCGTGAATGCATACAGGGACAGGCTATTTCAGAGGCAGATGCAGTAGGCGCAGGTCTAGCACTAACAAGCACGCGCTTAATCTCGCTCACACACCACACCTACACACACACATACTAACACGCACACACATAGTAACACCCACACACATACAAACATACACGCACATACTAACACACACACACACATACACCCACCCACAGCACCCTAACTTGCACACGGGCGCACACACACACAGGCACCCACCCACCCACAACACCCTAAATCGCACACGCACGAACACACGCACACACGAATATACACACACCTATAGATATATGCACACACACATACACACACATGTCCACACGCACACACGCAACACAGGAACACAGTAAAAAATAAAATTAAAAACCACCAGCTCAGCAATCCCCAACTTCTTCGATGAGCAGTTCAATCGGCTTGGAAGGTTCAATAAACAGCATCAAATGCTGTTTGAGGTTCAGAAGGTCATCAGGAACGGAGAGCTTGAAGCGCAACAGGATCTTCACCACTTCTGCTCGCAACAGCTGAAACGCCACATTCTTTCCAATGCAGTTCCGCGAACCACCACTGAATGGCACGTACGAGAACGGTGGAGCCTTCGAAGCTTCTCCACCTGGGTCGAAGCGAGATGGGTTGAAAGTCATCGGGTTTTTCCAAATGTCTGGATTGTGATGTAGAGCCCATATGCTGAGGACGACCCAGGTTCCGCTAGGAATCAAGTATCCGCCAATCATCGTGTCCTTCTCAAGCTCACGATAAATCTGGGGAGTTGGTGTGGCTATACGCAGGACTTCCTTTATGACTTGTGTGATGTATTGCAGAGAATTCAGACTCTGCTCAGTCAACACAGGCTCACCACCGTCCGGACACAACACCGCACATGCTTCTTCTCTACATCGTTGCTGGATATCCGGGTTGGCCGCCAAGTAGTAGAATAGCCACTGTGATGCAACAGATGATGTCATACCAGCTATCAAGAAGATAGTCACCTCTTCCCGGAGTTCTTTATCGTCCATCGCAGCACCATCCTCGTATCGTGCAGTCAGCAAGATGTCCAGGAAATCAATGTTCTTCTTCGGTGCACCGGCATCTGGATCGTCCAACAGCTGCTTCCTGCGACTGGCAATGACATTATCTGTCACAGTATGAACAATGTTGCATAGTTTCAGACATTCCTTACCAGCTTCAGTTCGAAAATAGATGGAATCCGGGTACAGAAAGGCGTTAGTTCCGCGTTCCTGCACCATCCGAGCCATAACATCTGTGGCTCGCTTGAAGTCTATTGTCTCTGTCTCGCTGAGCTCGTAGCTCATGACACACCTCACCAGCACATTAATGCTTAGTTTTGCTGAGGCCATGTTCATGGATACTCTGGACTGGCTTTTCGGTCCGGATTTGGTGGTGGAGTTGAGTAGGAGCTCAGACCAGTCGCTTATCAACGAGTCCAGTACTGATTCGTACACGCTCACATAGTCTTGAGTGACTTTCTTATGGAATCCAGGAGCAACCAATCGCCTCTTGCGTGCCCATTTCTCTCCATTGGTGAAAAACACCCCACCTTCTCCAGTGACAGGGCTAGTAAGATGAGCAACAATGGAAAGCTTGGGATGCGAGCCAGCGAGCATGGGTTCTATGGTATGTGGCGCAAAGACGTTGACCATGTATAAAAACTGAGACAGGTGATAGCGGAACACGCCGGGCAAACGCTTCTCTGGATCGCTCAGATAGTCGCAGTGGAACTGGAAGGCAGCTTCCGGCTGTATGAAACTCGAGTGTCCAGTAAGCCATCGTGGTTCAGCAGGGACGGGGAGCTTTCTCACATAGTAGAGACAGCGAAGGTACTTGTAGACTTTACGAACTACGTCTAGTTGGACAAATACCGCAACGGTACCGAGGAAAACCAGCAAACGAGTCAACTCAAGAAACTCCATGCTGACCAGCCGGCCTAGCCACCGACGCAAGGCTTCTGCCAAAAGAAAAGGCTACGACAAGAGTAATGTCAGCTTACATCATGAGGGGACGGTTTCAAATAGGACACCGGTTGCAAACCGGAACGGACTCAATATTCACTTTCTCTCTTGGTATTTTGATTAGAAAACATATGTCACAGTGAGACTACTATGTGTTATACTCCGAGCCAAAATTTCATGGCTCTGCGATGACCAGAAACGCCATATCAAGCAGGCGAGTTTTTGACGTGTTGCTTCGCACTGCGACTTGAGTTTTACGACTTTCGAAAAATCAACTTCTTGTCGCAGGTAAACAGCGGCTCGCCTCTCGCCAATAAAGCACCGCATACCAATCAAAACTAATGGAAGCACACACAAGGCTTATTGTTACTCTGTACTGGCCGTCGTGGAGCGATAGCAATTACCTAATTTCAGACCCAGAGTGAATTTGACGTGCACTCTAAAACGTGTCCGGTTTGGAGCCACCTCTGATTTGAACTTTTTTGAAGCGAAAAATTGGGCAATTTGGAGGCAATGGGTCAACACAAAGGAGTGGCTCAGTTCGATTGACTCTGGCCCCAGAGCAAACTTCAACATGCCAGTTTCCTTCCACAAACATATTTCGAGTGAAAAATCAACGCTGATAATCGGTTTGGGTCTATACAAATTTGGCTGTCAAAACGTCCCGGTATCGAGCCGTCTCCTCTACATCGGTAGTGGACGGCACGATATACATACAACTAATACTTACAAGGTACATGACACGACTGTGTCGTTTGTACGCTCACTTTCGAAAACTAGCTGCTAGCACAGTAGCAGCGCTTCCAACCCGGTACCCTCTCCTTCAACTACTTACGTACTAAATGCACGCGAAAAGGGGGCTAACGTAGATCTACTTGCACTTGAAACTGTCAAAAGGCACTTCAAAGTTTGAAATGCGTTTTTGCGTGGATTTTGAAGTTGAGTCGCTGCGATTCTGTATAATCTCGCGCGTTTTCGCAATTTTGCGCAGGTCGATGACACGAGAATGGGGTTGACGTCTAAGCTTTCCACCAGTCTTTAGATTTTGCAAATCGGTCCTCGCGTTGCTGAGATTCGTTTGTTTGAAGCTGCGCTTGTTTTCTCGAGAGAGCTTCTTTCTCAACATTTTTTTCTCGCTCTTGCATGAGTCGAAGAATAGTCTTCACTGTCGATGAAGCTCTTGCTGACGTGCTCAGGGAGTGCGAAGATGAGTTTCATGGCGATCCTGAGAGTAGCTCTGACAGCTCTGTCGCTCCACTTCAAGATTCTGGTCAGGAAATTGCTGAACAGGGCGTAGAATCGCAAGTTGACACTGACGACGCAGACCAACTCCACTACCTCAACTCCAGGGTGAACTCCGATGTTGCAACAGCGAACTACCTGCATGTAGAGCCTCAAAGCGACTCTGATGAGGCTGGACGGTTATCGCCGCGGTGATGAAGAAAATCTAACAGTGGAAGACGAAGCCGAATAGTGGAGAACGTCCCTGCTGCTGCTGCTGCTGCTCCTGCACCTGCTCAGCTCCAGAATTGTGGATGCAGCAAGAACTGCCTCCGTAAGTTCGACAGAGTAACTCTTGAGCAGTCAACACTAAACATGAGGGAAATGGAGAAAAGTGAGAGCGATACCGTGCTATTGGGAATTTTGGAGTCCTGCCGCCACAATACCAGTTAGAACGCGCACGGGGGAAAGCGTCGCCGCGAGTCCTTCGCCTACAGCTTCCAGGGTGTCGAGGTGTGTGTTGGTGCGTTTCGCTACGCGTACGACATCGGCAAGAAGCGTTTGTATGGTCTGCAGCAGCACCTGGAGAAACACGGACTGGTGCCCAGGGTCCATGGCAATACAGGCAGGCGACCACATAATGCGCTCCTGTACGCTAACGTGAAGAGATGCGTTCAGTTCATCAACAACCATGCAGAAGTCAACGGCATTCCGGATCCAGCCCCGCTGCGTGGACGTGATGATGCTCCTCCAGTGTTCTTGCCTGCTACCCGATCATACAAGAGCGTACATGCCTTGTACAAGGAATCTTGCGCGGCAGGCCGACAGCCCAAGTTGAGATCATCGGTGAATCATCGTTCCGCTCCATTTGGCATAGTTGTTTGCCCAACATCAAGTTTATGACGCCACGCACCGATGTATGCTCGACATGCAAGCAGCTGCGCAGAGCCGTTATGTCAGCAGTCTCAGAAGCAGACAAATTGAAGGCCTGTGACTCTCTCCAGCCACATCATGATAGTTGCACATTTTGATGTGGCACCAACCCCAGACCGTCCGACCAAGCGCACAGTATGGCGGTACCAGCAAGCCGACTGGCCCCGCCTACGCGCCTTCCTGCGCGACTCAGACTGGTCCTTCCTTGCTACTGATGACGTTGACACCTCATGTGACAAACTCACCAGGAAAGTCACAGAGGCAATGAAACGATTCATACCATCCAAAGTATTGAAGCAGCGAGCCAGCAACCCAATCTGGTGGTCTCCTGAATGCCAAGCATGTGTTGACAGAAAACAACAGGCGTGGAGGCGCCATCGGGCCTCCCCAGATGATGCTGCACTTCTTTCAATCTTCAAGGAGGCAGCAATTGCCGCAGTCGCCACTCTGCATCGAGTAAAGATGGCCCACATTGCGACAGTAAGGCGCAAGATCAGCGCTGGAGGTCTCTCGAGCCGAGAGTGGTGGACTACGATCAAACGTGCTGGTGGCCATAGCAGCCGTTCCTCGGAGATCCCGACCTTGACCCAGGCCAACAGTGTCGAAGTCAGGCAGAGCGCAGCGAAAGCTGAGGCTTTTGGAAAGTTCTTCTCGTCAAAATGCAGTTTGGGTACGGATGACTTGCAGGGAGACGCGCTCCCACCAGTTCGTCGCCGCTCAGATGCGCAGCTCCTCACAGTGCACTTCCGACCTTGTGCGATCGAGCGCGAGCTCAGGAAGGTCTCCCCTGCAAAAGCCACAGGACCAGATGGCCTGCCTGGCCGAGTCTTGCAGGAGTGCAGAAAGGAACTTTCAGTCCCTGTGTCGAAACTGTTCGACAAGTCCTTTCGGGCAGGACGCCAGCCTACCCTATGGAAGACTGCCATGGTTGTACCCGTCCACAAGAAGAAATCGAAACCTGATGTGAGCAACTACAGACCTATCTCACTCCTCCCCATCTTGTAAGGTGATGGAGGCTATCGTCAACCGTGCCCTCAGGAAATTCCTTGAGTCAAACAATATCCTCTCCCAGAGCCAGTATGGGTTCCGCAGCAGACTTGGCACCCAGGATATCCTCACCCTATTGAATTCGCAGTGGGGCAGGGTGGCCGCAAGCGGTAGTGCAGTAAGGGTGATCGCAGTGGATGTGGCTGGTGCGTTTGACCGTGTCTCGCACACCGGAGTGCTCCACAAGGCAGAGTGCTATGGCGTAGCTGGTCACCTGCTTGGCTGGCTCCGCGCCTACCTGAGCAACCGGAACCTAACCGCAGCTGTTGGTGGGGAGCTATCTCAGCCCTGCCCGGTGAGAGCTGGCGTCCCCCAGGGCAGCATCCTGGGACCGACACTGTTCATCCTGTACACAAATGACGCCGAGGACCATCTCCCTCCTGGAATGGACCTCGCAGCATATGCCGATGACACTACGCTCTTCAACTTCATCACCTCAAGAGTGTCCATACCTGGCAGCTCTGCTATCATGCAACAGGGTGTGGATGCACTGTCTCGCTGGGGCATGGAGTGGAAGATCAAGTTTGAGCCCTCCAAGACCCAAGCCATGACAATCGCACATCATCGCCAGCCTTGGCAGCTCCCGGGAACCACTTTCGACGCTACGCCAGTCAGCGAGGCAGGCCACCTGAAGCTCCTGGGCGTCACCTTTGACTCCCAGCTGACATATGCGCAGCACATCCGCACGATCTGCTCCAGAGCACAGCAACGCCTAGGCTTCCTGCGGAAGGCCTCTGCTATCCTATAGCCCCCTGGCCGACTCCGAGCCTACAATGGGGTTTGTCCGACCTGTGCTGGAGTACTGTTCCCTGGTCTGGCTTGGTGCGCCACCCTCACACTTGGCCAAGCTAGACCAGATCCAGCGACGAGCCATCCACATCATCGGATCGGGCTCCTGGCTCCCTAGTCTATCTCTGCGGCGGACAGTGGCCTCGCTTGCATACTTGTACAAGCTATTCTGCCTAGATGCGGACAGCCCGCTAAAGAAGATCCTCCCTCCTGGTGCCCAACGTCGACCTCAGGACATACAGCCCACCCGTGTGTCTGCTCAGCCTACGCACCCACACCAGCTATCGACTAACCTGCCAGCACGCACCCGAAACAGCTGTCTTCGCGCATTTCCTGCCAGCGCTGTGCAGACATGGAATGCTCTGCCCCAAAGCATACTGCTGAGACCCCCACACCTGGAAGGCCTGCAAGCCTTTAAGTGCCGTGTCCACCGTCACCACCAGCTGCACCACTGGAGCTGGGCGACTGAGAGCCTCTAGCAGACCTCTCACACCCACCCGTAGACCGCGTCTGAGACAGTGTCTTTATTGAAGTTTTTTCGCTAGCTTATATACTCTCCCTCGCTCTATGTTGCGGCACAGCAGCTCCCTTTTTCATGTAATAGCTGGCCTACTGTAACAAGTATGACTTTGCTGGCCAAATAGCTGAGGCTGCAGTCACCTCACCAATCATCTCATATTTTCAATGTTCCTTTTATTTTACTTTAACAACTTCACAACCTCTCTCTCCCTCTCTCTCTCTCCCTCCTCTCTCTCTCTCTCTCTCTCTCTCTCTCTCTCTCTCTCTCTCTCTCTCTCTCTCTCTCTCTCTCTCTCTCTCTCGCTCGCTCTCTCTCGCTCGCTCACTCCCGCTCTCGCTCTTCCTCCCCACCCACAGAGGCCGATACCATTGGCGAGGATGGCAAAAAGTCTCATAATCCAAACAGCGTCGTGTCCCTGCTCCACCACTACTATACAGCGTCGTGTCCCTGCTCCACCACTACTATACAGCGTCGTGTCCCTGCTCCACCACTACTATACAGCGTCGTGTCCCTGCTCCACCACTACTATACAGCGTCGTGTCCCTGCTCCACCACTACTTCGCCGTTCACGGTTTAGGTGAGGACCAATGCTTTCTCCATGCCGACAACTGCCGACAACTGCGCCGGGCAGAATGAAAATCGCTCTGTGATGGCTTATCTTGCGTGGAGGTGTATCACTGGCCTCCATCAGCGTATCAGCCTGTCCTTCATGATCACCGGACACACACGCTGCCTGGTGGATGGTCTGTTTGGTCTTCTGAAGCAAAAGTATCGCTGATCAGATATCTTCACCTTGCCACAGCTTGCCTCCGTAGTGAACAACAGCCCTGCCGCCAACGTTGCTCAACTTGCAGCTGGGTCGACAATTACCTGGTACGAGTGGGACTGCTTCCTGCCCGATTTCTTCCGGCCAATCCCAGCCGTGAGCCAGATGCACCACTTCACCTTCGCTGCTGCCACACCAGGCATGGTTGAAGTGCAGAAGAGCATTGGCGGAAACAGTGACTCTGTTGACATGCTGAAGACCACCGTGCAGGCAGTGCAAGATGCAGGCTTACCACCGGTCATTGCACCTGGAGGTATGAGCAGAGCTCGTCGCCAGTACTTGCACAAAGAAATCCGTCCGTTTGTGCAAGAGCAGTTCAGGGATGACCTATGCCCACCAGTCAGTGACTAGACAATTAGAGAGCCATAACTGTACAGTTCTAATCGTGTGCTCTTCTGTAACTGTATAATATTCACACCATGTTGCCAATGAACACAATCGCGGAAATTGGCTGCTTACGGGCCACGACTGTGCATGTGTGTGGTCTTAGTCGAAAATGCGACACGTTACTTGAACAATTTCAACCCAATTATACTATCTTTCTGTACACACAAATTAGGCTCATACAGACGCTGATAGATAGCTTCCAACACTTTTAACTGTAGTCCATAACCATGACGACCACGGCACAATACAGTGAACGAAGAGTCGGAATACGAATTGCAACAATCAGGACTAGCTAGCAGATGATTGTACACTGAAGACTTGCTATCACGAAACCTACGCACAACACTAACACTCTCACCGGCACTCTCACCATCACTCCCATCACTGCTCTCCGACTCACTGCTCCCTTCGCCGTCGGTTCCATCCTCCGCTTCCTCTGTACTCTCTCTGTCTCGTCCATCCCGCCTGACCAGGTCCATTAAACTCAACTCGGCCGTCACCCTGCTATCACGTCCCTCCTTTCGCCCTTGTCCGCTGAGTGCGTAGCTTCTGTTGTAGTTGGCTGTTGATCGTCTTGGTCTTTATGGGCTTGGATGGTGGATTAGTTGTGGTTGCTGTAGTTTGCATTGTTGGTGTTGTTGTGGGAGTTACTGATATGCAAGGTGGGTCTTTTTGAGTCGGCATTTGTAGTGTTAATGCAGCTGTCAGTGTTGCTCGCGGTCTGCCACTCGCAAGCTCCACCGCCGCAAGAACCGATGGCAGAGGATCAGGAGGAGGCAGTGGGACCGGGACCGCAAGCGGCACCGCCCCAGCCAAAGCCACCGGGGGCACTGACGAAGGAACCACCGACGGCCGGAGCAAAGGCGGCGACACAAGCCGACCCGATGAGCCACCACGCCCATTCTCCTCCACCACCGCCACCAGAGACGGCGGAGCAAGCACTATTTTCGAACTCAAGCTGGTAAGGAATGTCTGAAACTATGCAAGATTATCCATGAAGTTACGGATAATGTCATTGCCAATCGCAGGAAGCAGCTGTTGGAGGACCCAGACGCCGCTGCACCGAAGAAGAACATTGATTTCCTGGACAGCTTGCTGACTGCACGAGACGAGGATGGTGCTACGGTGGACGATAAAGAACTCCGGGAAGAGGTGACTATCTTCTTGATAGCTGGTATGACATCATCTGTTGCATCACAGTGGCAATTCTACTACTTGGCGGCCAACCCGGATATCCAGCAACGATGTAGAGAAGAAGCGCGTGCTGTGTTGTGTCCGGACGGTGGTGAGCCTGTGTTGACTGAGCAGAGTCTGAATTCTCTGCAATACATCACACAAGTCATCAAGGAAGTCCTGCGTATGGCCCCACCAGTTCCCGTCTTTTCTCGTGAACTTCAGAAGGACACAATGGTTGGTGGTTACCTAGTTCCCAGTGGAACCTTCTGCGTCGTCAACATTTGGGCCCTTCATCACAATCCAGAGATTTGGGAAGACCCCTGGACGTTCAACCTGTCTCGCTTCGAACCAGGTGGAGAAGCTTCGAAGTTAAGGCCATTCTCTTACATTCCGTTCGGTGCTGGTCCTCGGATCTGCATTGGAAGGAATATGGCATTTCAGCTGTTGCGAGCACAAGTGGCGAAGCTCCTGCTGCGCTTCAAACTGTCCGTACCCGATGACCGTCAGAACATCAAACAACACCTGTCGATGTTCATGGAATCTTCCGAGCCCATTGAACTGCTCATCGAGGACACTGGTGAATGCTGAGCTGATCTGTTGACGGGTGCCATTACTAGGCATTTGCACATACAGGCAGGTGAGCCGAGCTGCAGCACTACCAGTTCCTCAGAGCCTGGAGGTAACAATGGTTACAGTTTACTAGTGTTAGAGTGACGTCAGTAAGCTATAAGATGATAACATAATTAATTATGCATGTCCACACTCGCTGGGTCTTCAGCTACAGTGAGCAGAAGTGGCGAAGATCCTGTTGCGCTTCAACCTCTCCATACCTGATGACCTTCAGAACACTGTGGAGAATCCATAAATACAAAATACAAAATACAAAACATCAAACAGCACCTGGTGATGTTAATCGAGGCTTCCCAGCAAATTCAGCTGCTCATGAAGGATAATCATGATAATGGGGTATGCTGAGCTGGTGATGGTTGAGACATTGCGCGAAATCACGCGACACCTGTACATTTTCGATCTGCGGGATGAAGATGACGACGTCCATGCATCAGGTATCAGGGGGTAGTAAGATACTGGTATATTACTACTCCACGCCTCAAATTGTGCTGTCAAGCGTATGCGGGGGAGTGTAGCATGCCATCCCTTACACTTTCCAGCTCAGGGTTACCCTCGCTACCAATGGACGAAATTTCAGGGTCACAGCTTGCGCAACGGCTTTGTCCTGTTCGAATGGCCACTCGACATACTCAGCACAAATTTTCTATTGCATGCATGCACAAAATGTTCAACTTTCGTATTTTTGGCGACTTTACCACCGTCGTGGAGGCTGGTTGGTGAGGAGCAGGTAGCCATCCATCCCTTGTGGAATCAAACACATGGTTCCACAGTGTGGCTGATTCCGCAAGAGCCAGGTCCATACGAGAAACATTCGCTTTGTCTTTTGCCATCGAAGTAAGTCACTTTCCTTGTTCTCAGTGTTTTTTACGGTCAACGTTTCTGAGATTTTTGAATTATTCACTTTTCATTCTTTCATACTTTATTTCTTCATGTTCACTGCCTCACTTGCCTTCTGATCTGGAGAATGTGATGGAGGTGACTGTTGGTTACTGCCTGGTATAACGGTTGTCGTGCTGTTGCTGTATTTCCGTCCTGCTCGCGACGTTGTAGATCACAAACAATTTGAAATCACATGAATTGTACTTACCGTCGTGCGTGCGGTATTAGGAAACACTGTGCAGATTAGATCGTCGCAATGTATCTATATGTGTGTCTGGTCATCCTGTGCCACGCAAGAACTCCAACCAGACGCATTCGTCCTCGGCCCTGTTGATCGATTGTCCACTCGTCTTTCCTTGAAGAACGATCGATCAAAAAAAATCGAGCTCGAGGACTTTTTGCAAAAAAACGGCTGAAAAAAGGAAGAAAAAAGGGTGCTCAGAATGAGATTCGAGTACACAACCATGGTCCCAGCAGTTTATGTGGATGTCGCTCATAGATGCGCGATTTTGCGCAATGTGAGCAGAGAGCTAAGGCCAAGTAAGGGCGCGCTCACACTGCGACCATGAGCGCGCGTCCATGCGTCAGCAAAACGCAGAAACGTGGCAGTCGTGCTCACACTAGGCCTCGTACACGCGTAGACGTGAAGTTGTCACACAAACTTTACGAATTGCAGTTCCTATCCAAAAGAGTTCGTGCGTTTCCTAATAAAGTTGTGGCCCGTTTTGGATGTAATTTTTCGCATGTTGCATGCATGTTGGAGGAAGTGCCTCGTGGCTCGTAGTCTTGAAGTCGACGAAAATAATTCATACAATCAGGTAGGTTTGAACTCTTGAGGGACTGCCGCTGACATCCAAGCGCTTTCGCTTTCCTGACCTCGTGGTCAGAGCAAGTGCCAGTGCAGTGGAAATTCCGGTAGTAGTTTCTTTCGTCTGTTGCCGAGATGAGAACTGTATTTTCCGATGATCTGTAACTGAAATGTCTTGAGGAATGGCATTCCATCATCGCAGAAAAGTAGAGAAAGATGATTTCCGAAACCGAAAAACCAGACCAAGCTGCCATCGTATTGAACGAGTGCACTGTAGGAATGGGTCACTGACCCGATCAACTGACAACGAAGCAACTACATAAACAAAAACAAAATGGACATCGTCCAAAAAGGGCAAAGAATGCATATGGCGGTGCGTGCGTGCAGGACCACAACTACAAAACTTTAAAAATGTGCAAATGTCGAGGATGACATCGACAGCCGCCGAGTTTCATAAATCAACACACCGGAATTTGAGAAATTGAACATACTTCAGGCCAGGTTGTACACAAATACGCTTCACGTCTACGATCATGTTGCCGCCAAGTCGTGGCACCCCCCTCCGGAGGTCGCGGTCACGATTTGAAACGTGGCCGCGACGTTTTGGTCAAGTTCATGCCGTTGCCATGCAACTTGGCCGCATGGCCGCATGGACGCTGGTTTTGGTCGCAGTGTGAGCGCGCCCTTAGCAGAGTTGCAGAACTACCATTTCTTAGTCAGTAAGATGTGTGAACTTATCAAGCATGTGTCTCCAGTCGCGTATTCGCCCCTACCCATGGCTTACTCTCGTTTGTTTCTAAATTCATTTACGTGGACACAACCCACGCACCCTCCCGTATGTTGAGCCCTCACCTAGCTAACAACTCAACAGGTACAAGTCATCCAATGTAGCATAGCTTTCCAGTCCTTTGTTAGAGTCCTCTCCTAGTGTTCAGTTGTGGGCGTCTTTGCTTCTTGTGCAAGCTCAAGTGTTCATGCATGAATCCCTCTTCTGTTTGTATCAGGGAGTAGTACAATACCGTATGTACAATACCGTATTGTACGACTCCCTTATTGATTGTACAGCCACGACGTGCTTGATGTCTGTCGCGCGCTGCACATCGCAGTGCGCACGTGCGTAGCGCACGGGCGTACTACAGTACTCATTCTTATTTTAATTCTTCTCAAGAGTTTTGCCAAGTCAGTCAGTCAGTAGTGATTTCCTCTCTCGTTTCCTCTCTCGCTGTTCTGCGTGTTAAGAAATCAATGTTTCATTGCTTTTGAGATTGCAACCATCGGCAGCACGAGATTATACCGGTAGTTTGATAATCTGACATTCTTGACTGGTGAGGAGGGGGGGGGGGGGAGTAAAACTCTTTCTCATTTCTGTCACAGCATTCTTTCATTCCTCTTACATAGATTTCCTGCCATTGCTTCTTGTAAAACATGATGCTTACTTACTCGGGAACGTACCATCTTATTATTGTATCTGCGGACTTGGCCTTGTACACTTTGCAGCGGTACACTATGTGCACTATGTGTTCGGGAGCATTATTATGAAGCGGTGGGTAACACTACAACCATCTCACGACTTGATGCTGCTTGTTACTACATAGTTGTGAAATCCCTTTGCAATGCAGACGAGAATTATAATAAACCTTCGCAAAAAAGTGTCAGCATCGATGCAATCCCCACAGTCAAGTAAAGCCAATTTAGTAACCGAACGTTTTCGTTTCCTAGGCCCTTCTCATCATAGGTAAGTACAGGGAATAATGGAAAAATGTCAAAATACAGAAACTTACAGAGCTAAAGCACACGCATAGATCGAGAACCTCACGCTATACGGCTATCAAGACTGGCAGGCTCCGGCGGATTATGCTCGCGAAATCATGGAATTATGCTTTCTTGGATTCTCGCATTATGCTCGCAAAATCCTCATATTTTGCTTTGGCGCGCGGCGATACATGTACATGTATATATTCACTTGTTGTACTTATGGCGCCTCAAAGTTCGGAAAATTGTGCGTTTCTCATACTTGCAAGTGGCCATAAGTACAACAAAATGTTACACGAATATCTCCATACCAAGGTGTCTATGCATACTTGAGATCAAATGGAAAAGAGAAAACCGTTAATACTCTTCTATTCATTTGTTGACTTCTTTTGTAAAAAGATATTTTCATTGCCAAATCACTGTAGTTGGAGTTACCTTTGAATATTTATTATCATGTTCAACTTTCTTCAGAATCGATTTTCATGTCACTATCATCAGTGGAATATCGTGACTGAAGTGAAGGCAAGCCAAGGAAAACAATGAGCTTTGTGTACCCATTCGACTTTGTTGATGTGATGACGGCAGAGTTAAATTGTACATGTAGTTCTATTTATTGCCAGTTTATTGAAATTGTTGTCTCCGCGGCGTTGATTCAAACAGGTGTTTAAAGTGTGACTCCGGAAAATACCGTTTGGATAATAAGAAGAGCACAATTCGCAGCGTGCCTGGTTAGCTTTGTGACATTGTGTGGCTCTGGTAATTTCAGTGCTTTTCGGTCAGAATCTATCAGCTTGTCAAACATTATCCTCCATGGCCTGTTATGCGGAAAACATCATGGTTTCCATGATAATTGTTTCAAGTTTCACTGCTTTTGTATTGACCTCTAGGCAGATTATAAGCAATCAACAATCTTTTTGGTTTTCCAAAATTCCACTTTTGTGAATCCCGACTTTTCCAGGCAGCAACACCCGACCCGCCGCCCAGCTCGAGTCGCGGGTCTACCCCGATCCATTCCGTATAATTATGTGCATCATACAATTATCATGATTATGTGCATACCATGTACATGTACAATTTTTATTCTATTAATTTTCTTATTTTTTCACTCGTTTTGGGTTTAAAGGGGAAGTTAAGTTAAGTTAAAGGGGAAGTTAAGTTAAGTTAAAGGGGAAATTAAAGGGGAAGTTAAGGCAAAAATTAAAATTTCACCAGTTGTAGTCTTCGGGGTGCTGAGTCGAATGGTCGTGGTCCGAGGAAGCTGAGACGCTCCCTTCCTACTTGAATCCCAATCGAACTCGCGCACTTCCACCGAAACTGGGTGACTGCGCCCTACTAGATGGGGATTTGTATGCAAAATGTCACTAAAAGCGCCATTTCGTTATTATAAAAGCACGGATGACTGCGATTGGCCCATATGTTGTAGTCTTTTGGACGCTGAGTCGACTGGTTTTGGTCCGAAAAGGCTGCAATGCAGCGTTCTTCCTTTATTCCCAATCGAACATGGTTGAACAAGCGGTCACGTGCTCCTGCGTACGCCAGTCACCTGGTCACCGTGCCTGCAGGGTACAACTTACTAGCCTGTTTGACCTTTTTTGGGTGCAGTCCTGTCACTCGAGTTGAACTCGAGTTGAACCTTGGTGTGAAAGTTGTCGCCTGCTGGCGTGGTGACCAGGTGATTTGGGCACCCAGGAGCACGTGACCGCTTGTTCAACCATGTTCGATTGGGAATAAAGGAGGAACGCTGCATCGCAGCCTTTTCGGACCAAAACCAGTCGACTCAGCGTCCAAAAGACTACAACATATGGGCCAATCGCGGTCACCCGTGCTTTTATAAGAACGAAATGGCGCTTTTAGTGACATTTTGCATACAAATCCCCATCTAGTAGAGCGCAGTCACCCAGTTTCGGTGGAAGTGCGCGAGTTCGATTGGGATTCAAGTAGGAAGGGAGCGTCTCAGCTTTCTCGGACCAAGACCATTCGACTCAGCACCCCGAAGACTACAACTGGTGAAATTTTAATTTTTGCCTTAACTTCCCCTTTAAGGCAAGAATCAAAATTTTCTGCGATGCAGCGTTCCTCCTTTATTCCCAATCGAACATGGTTGAACAAGCGGTCACGTGCTCCTGCGTGCCCAAATCACCCGGTCACAGCGCCAGCAGGCGACAACTTTCGCACCAAGGTTCAACTCGAGTTCAACTCGAGTGACAGGACTGCATCCAAAAAAGGTCAAACAGGCTAGTAAGTTGTACCCTGCAGGCACGGTGACCAGGTGACTGGTGTACGCAGGAGCACGTGACCGCTTGTTCAAGCATGTTCAATTGGGAATAAGGGCCGAACGCTGCATCGCAGCCTTTTCGGACCAAAACCAGTCGACTCAGCGGCCAAAAGACTACAACATATGGGCCAATCGCGGTCATCCGTGCTTTTATAAGAACGAAATGGCGCTTTGAGTGACATTTTGCATACAAATCCCCATCTAGTAGGGCGCAGTTACCCAGTTTCGGTGGAAGTGTGCGAGTTCGATTGGGATTCAAGTAGGAAGGGAGCGTCTCAGCTTCCTCGGACCACAACCATTCGACTCAGCACCCCGAAGATTACAACTGGTGAAATTTTGATTTTTGCAATAACTTCCCCTTTAAGGTGTGAGCGGCCGTCGTGAGTTCCCTTCGGGAACGGACACGATAATTTACTTTTTTTAAAGGCTAAAATCAAAATTTCACCAGTTGTAGTCTTCGGGGTGCTGAGTCGAATGGTCTTGGTCCGAGGAGGCTGAGACGCTCCCTTCTTACTTTAATCCCAATCGAACTCGCGCACTTCCACCAAAACTGGGTGACTGCGCCCTACTAGATGGGGATTTGTATGCAAAATGTCACTAAAAGTGCCATTTCGTTCTTATAAAAGCACGGATGACCGCGATTGGCCCATATATTGTACTCTTTTGAACGCTGAGTCGACTGGTTTTGGTCCGAAAAGGCTGCGATGCAGCGTTCCTCCTTTATTCCCAATTGAACATGCTTGAACAAGCGGTCACGTGCTCCTGCGTACACCAGTCACCTGGTCACCGTGCCTACAGGGTACAACTTACTAGCCTGTTTGACCTTTTTTTGGGTGCAGTCCTGTCACTCGAGTTGAACTCGAGTTGAACCTTGGTGCGAAAGTTGTCGCCTGCTGGCGCTGTGACCAGGTGACTTGGGCTCGCAGGAGCACGTGACCGCTTGTTCAACCATGTTCGATTGGGAATAAAGCAGGAACGCTGTATCGCAACTTTCTCGGACCAAAACCAGTCGACTCAGCGTCCAAAAGAGTACAACATATGGGCCAATCGCGGTCAACCGTGCTTTTATAAGAACGGGCGAAATGGCGCTTTTAGGGACATTTTGCATACAAATCCCCATCTAGTAGGGCGCAGACACCCAGTTTCGGTGGAAGTGCGCGAGTTCGATTGGGATTAAAGTAGGAAGGGAGCGTCTCAGCTTCCTCGGACCACGACCATTCGACTCAGCACCCCGAAGACTACAACTGGTGAAATTTGGATTTTAGCCTAACCTTCCCCTTTAACTATTCACTGTCCCGACACATGGTGATGACTATGCTTCGCTTTGCCCGTAAAAGAGGCCTTTTCGATGTGCATAATCCTTGTACAATCATGTCACATGTAGATCTACTTTGCCAACGACCTGTGATTCGATGTACAGTACGAGTACGAGCAGTAATTGCAGTGCACTAGTGATCATACACGTAGATCTTCACAATCATGACACAGAAAGAAAATACTCAGTCAGACTGTGCAATACATTATCACTCCCTTAGTATTGACTCCCATAGATTATTGCTATGCCTAAGCAGTCAAATATTCCTGCATATTTCACTCCTTAGCTATCAGGGCTGTATTGACTGCTTATATTTGACTCCTTTTTAGAGATTGAACACAGGCTTTGGCTAGTCGTGATAAATCTAATATTGACTTCGTACTTGGTCAGTATAGGAAATAAAAACCTCGTAAAAGACCTCGGCTTTTATTTCCTATAATTATTATTGACCTAAAATACATGTATTAGATACGTACTGTCTACCATCGAGAGTCAAAACTGACACCATGATTGTATTGTAGATCTACCAGTGCACTGCAGTCACTCACATCTCAAAATTAAAAATAATTGAATTATTTTCTGTCAGTATTGCACAGTACCTGTAGTTGCAAGTGGTAGACTCGTGTGCGATAGAGCTCTAGTACTTGCCTGGTCTTCATTCATCAAAGGCAAAAGTCCCATGCGGGCATCGCGGCTTCCACGGTACACCGGTAGAAAGCAGAGAGGAAGCAAATAATTGGATGCCAGGCAAGGAAACTCTCCGTCGTAAACACTCGTAACTGGTATTCCCCTCGAGTTTCAAGTATCATGGTCAATGCCATTATTCAGGTTGCTGCCCTTCTCGCAATCTGCATCTCGTTCGTGAGATCCGGTGTTCTAAAATGGCTCCGCAACTATGTCAGGTGCCTGTATTACCTGCGCAAGCTACCAATGACCGTGAAGCCGATGTGGATCGCTGGTCACACCTGGTGGGCGCGTCCCGAGACCGCTGTAAAGAACATGATGGACAACTTTGAGCAGAACACCCCAGTACCAGCCGTGTCACGTTTTGATATGGCCCCGTTCACTCATTTCGCTCTAGTCGAGAAACCAGAAACGGTCGGCACAGTTTTGAGATCATCTGCACCAAAGAATCCGTACATATACTCATTTCTTGTGCCTTGGATTGGAGAGGGGTTATTGATCAGCAATGGGTCCAAATGGGCACGGAATAGGCGGTTGCTGACGCCAGCGTTTCACTTCAATGTACTGAAGGGATACGTGGACTGCTACAAGTCAGCTGTGGAGATTCTCGTTCAGAAATGGCAGGATGCTCTGGAAGCGAGTGATGGTGTGGAAGCACGCGTCCCAGTCTCCAAGGACATTCCTCTGCTGACGCTGGACGTAATACTTCGCTGTGCCATGAGCTATCAGTCCAATTGCCAGACGCAGGCCAATACGTACACAGATGCGGTCATGCAGCTGATCACCAAAGCACAAACACGCGGCCTCAACATTTTCCAGCATCCTGATTTGTTATACTACAACACGGCTACTGGCAAGCAATTCAAAGAGGCCTGCCACACAGCTCACGTCTACTCAGATGCCATCATCAAAGAGCGCAGAGAAGAACGCGCGGAAGGGCGGCATAACTCAGAGCACAACACAGACTTCCTGGACATTCTCTTGACGGCTGTAGACAGTAGTGGAGCAGGCCTTTCCGACATGGACATACGCAATGAAGTTGATACGTTTCTTTTTGAAGGTCATGACACAACTGCCTCGGCGGTCCAGTGGACGCTGTACTTCTTGTCTGCCGATTCAACCGTCCAGCAGTCTTGCCGTGAGGAAGCCATGGACATCTTCTGCACAGACGGCAATATAGCCAACCCAAACGTTACGTATCAATCACTTCAATCTCTCACCTACATTGAACAAACCATCAAGGAAGCCATGCGTTTGGCTACAACCGTGCCTCTCATCTTTCGCAAGCTGAATGAGGATGTTCAGATTGGCGGGTACTTGGTACCGGAAGGAGCTTGGGTTCTCATCAACCTATGGGCACTGCATCACAACCCGGAGTACTGGCAGGATCCGATGAAGTTTGATCCTTCGCGATTTGACGCCGAGCCGCAGACGTCAGCCCAGCGGCCAGTGTTCTCCTACGCGCCATTCAGCGCAGGTCCACGAAACTGCATCGGGCAGAACCTGGCCATGGAAGAGATGAAGGCTACCATAGCTATTCTACTGCTCAATTTCCAGTTCTCACTCCCCGAGGATATGTGCAACATGGAACAGCACATCTACGCTATCAATCGTCCCAAATCTCCAATCGAGTTGATCGTCAAACCATTGCTCGCTTGATTGGATGCTGCACTTGTCGATATTGGTAGTTCTCCTCCATGGTTACACTGAATGAGCCTCGGTTCTCTACAGGCTATGCTTGGATTTATAGAACTTCTGGGACACTTGCTATGCGTGGTAGTACAGAATCAGAGTTAGCCGTTGGTTGCTAAAGAAGGCAACATGCACACTGCTAGCTGAGAGACCGATGCCAGTGTGAGATGGCTCAGATCCTCCCCCCACCCCCCCCCCCCCCGATTATTAAAATTATTTCAGATGTTGGAGTTGAGATGAACCGGCAGCATGCTGAGTCTGTATCTCAGCTCATGCCGAATAGCTTGAATCAGAGCGAGAAGCTCTGATTCACCCAAGAGCTGCAGCATAACCATCCCCTTCTGCAATCTGTGTTCTACTTGAAAAGTTATTTACACCACATTGGAGAAGAATCAATAATAAGTATTCTATTTGAAGTCACAGATTCGTAGCTGAAATTACTCTTTTGATGATGAAAATCAACCTGGTGCACTTTTTTATCGAATTGCTGGTAACCACTTGTAAATTGGAGATATGTGTCCTTGTTTTAGAATTTTTCTTATTGATTTTCAACCTAGCTTGATTGGCACAGTGATTATTGATGTTCTCAGGTTTCTTGCTTAGACCATGATCGTATTCAGGATTGTGTTAGCCAGATAGGCAGCTGAATCCGGTGCTGTGAAAGGAGTTCAGTGTTTGCCGTTGTACGTGTGTTCACGTGTGGGTGTGTGTGTATGTGTACGCCTGTGTGTTCATGTGTGTGTGTGTGTGTGTGTGCGTGTCATATTACTGTTCATGACTGTCATGTATCCTATTTGAATAGAGCACGGTGCCGCAAATTGGTCGACGTGGCTCACTTTGCGTGCATGCAGGGACTGCCGGTCACTTGAGCAGAGCTGGAGCATGGGAACATCATACGTTTTGCCGGAACTCTTTGCGTTCCTGATGCGCACACTCGTCTCTGTTCTGCAAAGATGTGCAAACAGCGTTGGTATTCTGCAGACTATACGGGCACTTTAAACATAATGCATACTGAGCTGGTAACCAAGCAGGTAGTAGTAAAATACAGGTTTTGATTATGATTCTGTACTTGACTTTGTACAAGCAGTACTAGTGAAATCCAGACGCGTCACTTAAGTACGCGCCGGGCATTGTGCAGCCCTAGACCTGAGAGCACTGGGCTGCGAAATGGTGGAAGGCGCACGCTTGAACGATGTGACTGGATTTCACTGCGCAGCACTGTGCAAATCCATGCAGTGCCGTGCGCTCAATGAAGTTGAGTATTGGGCTAGTGTTCAACGTCAGTACACTCCCTTCTTCACCATTCACAGCTGTGCATGTCGACGCCCGTGTAACGCAACGCTGCAGAGCTGCGTGGAACGTATCACTGTCGATCAGAGAACCCAGAAATGAGTAGCTTCAACGTGCTGGAGATGACTACTAAGCTCAGATACACTTCCCTTATATTTATAACGTTACAACTTACAAGTACATGTACAGGGGACATCATAGCCCAAGCTCTTGCATACTGCCAATCAACACTCACCCCGGGGCACATCGAATAAAAACAGGTGCCATGTTTCGGTACAAGAAACAATGATTTTCACATAACAGGACAACAAACCGCTCCAGGTGACGTGGGAGGACAACACTCCGACCAGAAATGTACTACACACACAAACTTAGTCACATAGGCATGTCCGTGCTTGTGCATTAATTACAAATCCAACCTTGGACTGCGATACAGATAACCTACACACACTCAACAGATTCTCTCAGCCAAGCATGCTGCTGAAAAATAAGGACAAGAAATATAAAAGTAGAACAAAGTGTATTTCATGCATTCTTTTTCCACAATTCCTGGTTAACACATGCACACATTTGGATACATGAGCACAGAGCACATAGGTCATGTGTCAAAGCAAACACGCCAGAGTACAATGTATGCCCGTCCAAGCAACTCTGCAAGTGTACTGGATGAACTAAAGCACACTCACTTTTCCCTTATACTACGTGGTAGATCTACGACCGAAAGCAAACAATAATATCTGAATGAAATAGGTCAAGACTCGCCCCAGGTAAGCACATACACACACACACACACATACACACACACATACACACACGCACATGTGTGTTCCCTCCCACACACACGTGCACGTGTGCATACACACAGGCACGCACACATGATGCATGATTGTACATGTCAACTAGATATACCACAAGCACACATGTGTGCATCCACGCACACTCTCCCACAGAACATGCGCACAAACAGAGCACATTCCAGAGGCTAATCTTGGCATACTGCGAGTCCCACAGATTGCACAAACAGTGAAGAACAAACCATACAATGTCATGTTAAAACAGAACAATACCTCGCAGTGGGAGAAGTATTATGCTGCCGGAAGTCTGAATGTGACGGCAAAATGGACATGTTCTGTCTCTTCGCTTCTTGTCTCTAGGTTAGTTGTACACGACTTCATAGCTGGTCTAGAAATATTATGATTATTTAGTCAGGCCTGGTCATGATGCATCGTTTCAGAACACAACAAACCAAAAAAATGGTAACAATCAAAACGGTGAACAAAAGACAGAGAGAGGGAGAGAGAGCTAGTATGAATAGAACGAGAAAATCACCGGTCCGTCATGGCTACATCATCTTAGTAATGTGAACTAACCAGTAGGACTTGCCATGGGGATTTCGTCAGCCAATCATTCAGCCATACCATTATAATTGAAAGTGATGTTGGGAAGTCGAGGGCATCAGTACTTTCCGAGCTGCTCGCAGGTGCAGCTGCAGACCATGTAAGAAACGACAGCCGCAGTACAAGTATACACAGGTTACTTATCATTTCACAGCCAGGTTTCACTACAGTCTGGGCTGCATCCAGCACGGGTTCCAGGGGTTCCGGGGAATCCCCTAAATTTTGTAAGTGTACTACTGGCAACCATATGCCTGTCCATGTACATGTATCAGCTATTCACTGTTTTGACTATACTGGTGTTAGTGGACAGTATTTATAGCATAACTTGTAGTTCTTTGGTCCTTTTGTCTTACCGTAAAACCTGTAACTAACGACCATCGTGACTAGCGACCGGCCTGGTACTTCCGACCACTTCATCAGGCACGGACGGTCTCACATTCAAAATGCACTGTGACTAGCGACTACCTGCTGAACGCGACCAGCGACCGCCTTTTCTTGTCCCAATGTCGAATTTTGACCTGTAACTAGCGACCGCGATGTAGGAAATCAAACATTGCTCGAAGCTCCTTCTCGAAATGTTGATGATTTTCCATGGTCCTGAAAGGACTGTTTCGATACTACAGCTGGACAAATGAACGCAGTCTCATTTTGACTGTGGAATCAGTGTGGACTGCACTACACCTGTCATTATTTCAAGTGCTGTCAGGAACAAACATGATAGGAAACGTCTTGGAGAGCGCATCCAAAGCGCTCTTTGATCGATGTTACTACTCGAAGGAGAAACTAAGACTGAGAGCGGCTCTCTGTCAAAGTGCAATCACACAGCTCAGTCGACGTCATCAGGTCACCATGGTCACACTGACAGTCTGTGCTGGCTAGCTAGCATATGTACTCACCTGCACGGAACACAGGCCAGGATACGATGGCGGATACTATTACTATAGTCTTCAGTGAAGGTGCGAAAACTCGCAACATCGCCGCATCACGTACATGTAGATCGAGTACTGGTACACACCAGCGCAAAGAGAAGCTTCAACAGGGAACTCTAGACTCCTAGGATCCTGGCTTCAGAAGTACATGTAGGAGCTGAATTTTTAGAATGTCTGCAATAAAACTTGATTTTCTCTCTCTCCAAGTGTTGTATGGTCTGAAAGAAGAATGTCAGTGCGCAAGTGGCGGGGGATTGTATTATCTGCATTTTGATATACATAATGGGATCCGTATATGGTCACGCGGTGCAAACCTCTAACTAAAGACCACCTGCCACTAAAGACCACTTTTCCGGGCACCAGGGGGTGGTCGGTAGTCACAGGTTTTACTGTATCTAGAAATGAATTATATTTGTTATATCCCGACAAAGTGAGGCAGATCCCGGGATTTTGCATTGACGATCCCGAACAAACACTGTCAGTACTTGGCAAGTATGTCTGTCTACCACCTGTATAGAAATCATGCATCGGAAGTAGACATACTGGGCCAAAACAAAAAATAAGCTTGTTTCGGGTCGGCAACCCCTCGAAAAGGAGACTCGGTCGGCCGGAATGAAACTTTTTTTTAATACTTTTTTTGGTTCATCAATCGTTGTGTTATTGGATGAACAAGAGCACCTACACAATCATGTACATGCATGTACACATGTATGCCAGGATGTACATGTCTCATGCCTTCATGGCAAGGATCAATGCCACAGTTGATTGACTGTTCTTCTACAGCAGTATTCCTGTCGTCCTACATTCTGAAAAATCAAGCAAAACGTTTGAGTGCTTGCAGCTCCGGTACTAGTATACTAGCTCGTATCGACCCCGGAGTGTTTCGAGCCGATAGCTGAGAATCTCGGCTACCTCGTCGGTAGTTTGATTGTTGAATTCGGTTGAGATTTGACGGAGTGATGACTCGTTTAGTGCACTTGCACACATGGCATTGCCACCTTTTGTATACATTTGGGACACAAAAAAAGGATCAGAATTTGGGGAAAAATGGCCCGGTCAGCCGACCCGAAACAAGGTCATTATTTGTTTTGGCCCAGTACATGAATCCCTTGAAAAGATGATATATCTGCTCAGACTCTGCATTTCAGACGTTGTCTTCACAGACCTTGTCCGACGAAAGTTGGTGTTCAAGTTCACAACAACCGTAAACAGCCTACCCCAGTAAGCACTGGCTCACTATTTGATTACAGTCAGACCTCGCTTAACCGCATACATCCGTTTTCCACAAAAATATCCGGATAGGCGAGGGAACCGGATAATCGAACACACATACTGTGTGGATGCATGACATATGCTGTAAATCGGTAACCAACGATTTCCTTCTGGATGGCGAGGGATCCGGATAAAAGAGGACCGGATAAGCGAGGTCTGACTATACCAACTTGCGCTTTCTCAGCCATTCAGGGACGGATAAGAATAAAGTACAGTGAGGATCTCAAAACCTTTGACTCGAACTTCTGCTCTTCCCCAAACATTGCCATTGAATGGGCCAAGTTTGAACAGCTACCTTAGCCCAACAACCCGGTCAAACAGTATAATGAGTGATCAACGGTCACCAGCAAGATCGTCTCGGCACTGAATGTGCAGACACTCGTTGAATTTGTTATTCCCTGCACGTGACCTTATCAAGCTTCAAATGTGGCAAGGAATAATCGCATGGGTCACACAATGCAGGATGTACAGTCCCCCCTTTTTAATCCAGCACTTTATAAACCAGCACCCTCTACAAACCAGCGTAACTCTCAGTTTCCAAAATGTCCTTTTCAAGCACATTGCAGCAGTAAATCAGATTTTCTAACCCAGCACAATCCCTAATCCAGCAGAATATCCGTAGCACAAAATGGTGCTGGATTAGGTGCTGGATTACAATGGGACTACTGTACAGTGGTGTTCAGGATATCTACAACTACCGTATTATCTCCATCACAAGCGCAGTCTCTTGTAGAAGCCCAGTCTCTATTATAAGCACACTCCAAAAGAGCTTCGAAGATATACAAGCGCAGTCTCCAATATAAGCGCAGGGCTGATAATGGAGAAATGCATGGTTCACGTCCATGCATTTTTTGACGTCCACAGTGTATCATACACAGATGTTATGGCGCAAGTCTGTGATTCCCGAGATAAAATTGATTTAAATTGTACAGACTCAGTGTACCAGGAGGTGCAAAACTGCATTCACGGTACCTGGTGGGAAATTGTGTGCTACTGGTACTTCAAAGTATACGAAAAATACTTGTACCAGTTGGTTGAAAAGTTATAAGCCCGGTCTCGAATAGAAGCCGCCCAGTCTCCAATATAAGCCCAGGGTCAGGACTGGTTGAAAAAATATAACCCCAGGGCTTATAACGGAGATAATACGGTATACGTGAGAGACAACATGCCACTTTCCAATGAATGATGGACTGTAGGTCCGTTGTTCAGAGTTCCTGGTGTTGTTGTTGTTACTTTATTTTACTGCACCAGAATGACAGGCAGTAGAATGAACGCCTTCTCACTAGACCAGGTCTAGTTCTCACAAATGATGAAGTACCCGTGTTCACTTGGCTTGTCATCACCGTTAAGATCTAGTACAAATACCATGGAACAAACCCTGGCTCTTCGTTTCCCATGGTGCCCACAGCATATTGGCAGCACTTTCCTCTTTCACTAAGTGACCGTCACTTGATGTAGGAGGTGGAGAATGCATTATTGATGGCATGAATTGATTGTACTACATAATCATTGGCTAATTGCCTACTACAAGGTGAAGGCAATTAACCATTGTCTTCGCTACCTTGCCTGAACACCATGACACTGGGATACTTTTGCCACCCGTCTACCTGCTCCCAAATTGTCCAAATACCTGGCCACATTGCCTCCAGACCGTTTGTTAGAAGAGAGGGAAAACCCCACCGTGTGTTGATCAGTGAGACAGACTTTGGTACAACAAATCAACTATCGCTGAATTTCTGATCAGCAATGCCATTTCTCCCAAGGGGAAACGCCGCAGCTCCAAGTAGTGGTCTATACACCTAAAATCCCAACCCTCACTCAGGGCGGATTTCTATTGGACTACTATTCAGAACGTTTACAGGCTGAAATAGAAGAAATCACAAGGAAACGAGTTATGAAGCAACTATCCACGACTGTAGCAAGATAATAAGCAGTCACCATGTGCAGTCGTGTTACAGACATGGATAGTTGCTTCATAGCTCGTTTCCTTGTGATTTCTTCTATTTCGATTATATTTACTGGCTCAGTATCCGAGTTACCTACAAAAAAAGGATCTACTTGAGTTCACAGTGAAAGTGTGAAAGGCCTAGGTGCACCTGTCAGCCTCACCCATGTTCTACCCCAGTTGACAAGGGCACACCAGCAGCATATGCAGTAAACCTGTAAAGGAGACCGCTCGGATACGACGACCACCTGTCCTAGAAGACCACTGGAACCAGGAACAAGGGATGTTATTTCCAGTCAAATGACCCTGGATGCGAAGACCCGTGACCTGAGCAGTCACCTTAGACATGTTTCACTGTGGTTGAAATGCATGTAAGTTAGTTAGAGAAGTTTCTCTCCAAGCCTATACCATGGAGTTGTATAACCTTGGAGACGACACTAGCGACTGGGATGTGAGAGGATGAAGATGAGTTACGTTCCTGGACTGTCAATTCCAGTTGCTGTTGGCAAAGCACGTTTTCTAATGCATACTCCCATAATACATCATCAGTCAGGGTCACGGATGGGGAAAGCAGCTCAAGGCTGTGATTGCGGTCGTGTGTCCCAAAGACCACAGATCACGTAAGCTTTACAAATCCAGGTTGGAACTGCACATCATCGCCTTGTCTCATATGGTCTCCCTACATGTTAGGAACCTCGTGTCCACACTCACCAATTACACAGCAGTCGAGTCCTTGAGCACGGCCGAGCGATGTACTTGCTGACATTTCCACCTGCCGCTAACCTTCTTCCAGACGCGGCTCTCCATGTAGGAGCTGCTGGTTTGCAGGGCACCGGGCTTTGCCTCCTGCCATTGTGCACAAGCAAAAAACAGTTCCGTTCATTAGATGGGTTTAGCCGGGTGCATCCACTCTCATGAAACTTACGTACATGTGGTCACACCTATTTTTAATAAACAATAGAGTTTTTAAATGGTATCCTGTTAAATGAGAAACTTTGACAAAAATCATGCGGAGAATACAAGTGCATGTATACATGTAGTTGCGCTCAGTGAAATCTGATCCAGAGTTCAAAACTCACACCCTGGATCAGTTCCGATTACATCACTGTATTCGTACATGTATACGTTCAGCCGTGCCACTTCCAGGGCGTCAAGGGCCGTTCAAGTTGGGGGTGCCAAGTATGCGCCTTGGGTCAGATTTCACCGAGCACAACTGTACAACGATATCTGTAAGTAGTAAAACAGAGAGGTTCCAGGCTGCCCAAGAGAGTGCTCAATACCGAGAGGCAGAGCTAGTTCAAACAATATCAATACAATCAAGTAGTATGGAGTTTACGCAGTTAATCATGTCAGCATTGGAGGCGTTTGCATGGATTTGATCCGTGGTAATGAGCGTTTGCAACTGAGTACATACATGGAACATACAACAGTGCTCTCTCTCTCTCTCTCTCTCTCTCTCCGATCTCTCTCTCTCTCTCTCTCTCTCTCTCTCCGATCTCTCTCTCTCTCTCTCTCTCTCCGATCTCTCAATGGAATACGGTAGGGCAGCCAATGCATGCCGTCAACGTCATAATTATAGTCCCCACTATCTGAACAAGGGGGCTGGCTAGCAGAAAGGCAGGAGAGCAGTGGCAACATGGCTGAACCTGCATATATCTACATGTACGGAGAAAGCATAGTAAAACAGTAAAACCTGAGCGACCGCTCCAATATGGCCACAACCTACCCCACAAGACCACTACAACTACGACCAAGGGATGGTATTTTCATTCAAATGTCCCTGGATAAGAGGACCACTTGTGCACGGGGATCCCATTTGCTGGGTATCTTGACCTGCCGCCTTACACAGGTTTCAATGTAGAGTCAGAACCGGCCCATAGCCTGGTCCGTAAAACAGGTCCACACAGCTCAAGATTGGTCAAATAAGTATGTACGTGGGCCTCAAAATCTCTGCACTCTGTTGTGCAGCTCTCACTGCTGAAACATGGTCTCTACACTATGTTGTGCAGCTCTCACTGCAGAAAACATGGTCGGGTGGCTGTATGGGGAAAGTGGTGCAGCCAAAGACTGACCAGCCAAATCGGCTGCTATGCCCCTCACCTCTCTCCGTGCGCGCGAGGTGATGTCATTCACCTTTCACAACACCATCAATTATGGTGAAGGGAGAACATAGGTAAGTTTAGGTGAGTGGACACACCAGTGCCCCCGAAAGATAACGGCGATCTACCACAACACATATTTAGAAAACGGCACGCAGCAATACCAAAAAGGAACAAAACGCTCAGCCAAATCACCTGAAGTACGCATGAGTAGCTGATGAGGGCCACGCCGTCACTAACAACCTTCACTGACGGTGAGTTGAGGGTTGTGCGTGCAACCGCGGCCTTGTTGTAGTTGTCAAAGTAGAATTTGTGAAACTGCAGGCCCTGCAAAACACAGACAAACACCTTGCTTATTGCATGTGAAATTCCGTTCAATACAAAAACTATTCAATGTAGCCATTAGTTTGAGGGAAAAGATTCAAACGGAAAAAGCCAGAAGAAAAAATTGATTGTCACCACCATGAATACTATTCAATGTGTTTCTGTATGCAAGTCTCCACACAACACATGTATGACCTTCCCAGATTGGTGATGATGAGATGCAGGCAGTTAATGGCAGAGTTGTACCATGAGCACATCGAGAATCAAAACTGTGCAAGTCATGAGCTAAGCGTAAACTGGGATCTAAAATCGACTGGAGCACAGAGTGGTAGTATCCTTGAGGAAAGGTTATTCTTGACCTACCTACTACGCAGATGGAATATCAGTGGTTGGGTGGTGTGTGAGTGTGTGTGGGGTGGGAGATACACAGATATCACTTGTAGTGTGTGGGAGGGGTACATACTGTACAAGTGACATCATATCTACAAGTACATGTAATACATGTAGATCTGATGTCACTTGAAGGAGTGGGGGGGGGGGGGGGGGGGTGGGGAGGGTACACATATCTATTATCACTTGAAGGGTAGGGGAGGGAAAGGGGTACACAGACAGGGCCGTCGGAAGGTAATTTAGTGTGGTACGGTCAGCCATCTGAAGTACAATTTTCGCGTGAGATAGGGGTGGCTGAGCCGAAATGTTTTGGAAATTCAGAGCCCAAATCAGCGTATTTTATTGATTCACGGGGTACTTGGGGCAAGGAGTGGTACGATCAATACCGTAGTGACGTACCGTGTGCGACGCCCCTGACAGATCTAAATCAGATCTGTGTACCCTCCCCCCCCCCCCCCCCCCCAACCCATTCTAATATCACTTGTAGGTGGGCGGGCGCATGAGTGTTACGTAGTGGCCTCGAGAATAATTCCACAGGCACCTCTCATTGGTGAATTCACGCAAGTGCCAAGTGTGAGCTATCACAACTGGCATCATCGCCTGCAATATCGCACGTTCCCAAAATCATACGTTCAGGTTAGGAAAGATCCAGTGAGGGGAACGAAAGCGCAACGAAGATGAGCATGAGCTACGTCCGACGGAAATGCAACATGTTTCTGGATGATGCCTTATGAGCCTTGCCAGATTGTTGGTTCGAGAATTATTGCGTTGGAGCTAGGTGTCAGGTCGTTGAATATCTCAGTACTCGCTGTCAATTGTGTGCCTTGTTGTCACACTCGCTGAGTGTAAATGATGTGGTTACTTTGGTGAACAGTGCAACATGTTCTCCTTCTTCTTATCCATGATCATGTAGCGTACCTTGACAGTTTGCTGGCCTTGACCTGGTAGAATACTGATCATGTCTGGATCGCAAGTAGCACAGAAGTCGCTCCAAGAGCCTCTATCGACGGCACCGAGCAGCTGACGGGTTGCTCCGATCACCTCGTCGACAACGTCCTTTGGTGCAGCAGCGACAGCAGCAGCAGCACCAGCGTCCGTTGTCGACCTCTTGTCTATAGTTAGAGTTGAGATACGTTTTGTCACCATCGTAGTGCTAAATGGAAAAGTAGCACACACACGCGCGCACACACACAAACACACACACACACACACATACAAACACACATACAAACACACACACACGCACAAACACACACACAAACAAACACACAAAAACAAACACACACACACACATACACACACACACACACACACACTTTCTCTCTCTCTCTCACACACACACTCATGCATGTACACACACACACACACACACACACACACACACACACACACACACACACACACACACACACACACACACACACACATGGCCGGGTATGCACACGGTCACCCACCCACATCCGTGTGCACGCGTGCAAGCACACACACACACACACACACACACACACACACACACACACACACACACACACACACTCACACACTCACAAGCGCACACACACACACTCATAAGCACACACACACACCCTCACAAGCATGCACACACTCACAAGCGCACACACACACACTCACAAGCACACACACACACCCTCACAAGCACGCACACACTCGCATACACACATACATGTACACATACATGCACAATACTAAACTTAATGAACATGTGGCATGCAAGGAACTGACCAGAACTGAATTCAGGATTGTGATTGGATAATGTACCAGCACCACTGATGCACTTGCACTCTGCCCCTGAATCTAGCCTTCGGCTACAGGATATACTAGTACCCTTACAATTCGCTAGGACTCGAGTTTCTCGCTTGCGCGATCGCCAGGCAAAATGATTCTAACCCTACCATGTGGATGAACCTTTTGCGTATATGGTGATCATGGTAATGACTGTCATGACAGGAGTGTGGAGTTTAAGGCATTGGGAGTAGTTTACGTATTAAAAGGCATCGGAGTAGCTTTTTTGATATTTATTTTTACTATTAACACACCCCTACTGGGAAACATGTTGATGACAACATAAAACAAGACAAAGGGGATGTAGGGACGACGTGCCGATGTACTGAGAGCAACTCGAGCGACCGGCGGTCTCGGTCGCGCGGTGCAATCAGGTAGCATGCGGCTAATACAAGCTCTGGCACTTACAGGATTGCACCGACAAGCTTTCGCCGTGCGTTGAATCCCTTCAGACTCTCCGTGGTCTGCTGTCGGTGTACACCAGAGGCGATGCGGTCGCGCTGAGCAACCCACGGATGCTGTAGAGCCTGCTTGACAGAGATACGACGCGCCCCATTCAGCGACAGCATCTTGTCGATGAGATGTTTCGCCTCCTTGGTGACAGTATCCCACTCCGGGCTCGGGTAGTCGTACTTGCCTTTCTTGATCGTCTCGTACAGCTTGGTACGGCTGTCCTCCCAGAATGGCGGGTAGCCTACAAGTAAGATGTAGAGGATAACTCCCACTGCCCACACATCCACGCCCTTACCATACGGCTTGTGATTGAGGACCTCCGGTGCCAGATAGCCCGGGGTGCCAGCAAATCCGTACCAATGATCATCACCGCTGGGATTTATCTCAACTGCTAGTCCGAAGTCGGCCAGCTTCACATCGGCCCCGCGCTGTTTTGAAGCAAGCAGCAGATTCTCCGGCTTCAGATCCCTGTGCATTATCCCACGTTCATGACAGTAGGATAAAGCGTCCAGAACCTGCTGGATACAGTGACTGGCATCACGCTCGCTGTAGTACTCGCGAGCTACGATATCCTCAAACAACTCGCCACCGGTCACTAAGTCGAACACCATGTAGCGGGTTGCCGGTCCGGTAAACGTTTCGTTCAAGCGCACTATGTTGGGGTGAGCAAGACGCAAGCAAATCTTTTCCTCGCGGTCCAGCTTGGATAATTCTCTCTCCTTCATGTTGACCGTGTTGAAAATTTTCACAGCAAACTCACGTTTGTTTTCCTTGTGCTTACAACGTTTGACCACCGCGAACGCACCCTTTCCCAGGTCGTCCAAAAGGTCGTATATCTCATTGAATTTGACTACGGCGCTCTTACGGCGCACTGGCGATGCCATGATTGACCAGGACTAAGCTTCGCAGGCACCAAGACGAAGCTACGGCTATCCCAAGCTTCCACAACTAGTCAACTACAAAGTGCAATGGTACCGCAGCGCAGAGGGAGAAAAAAATATTGTGATGGCAACATTATCAGTACATGACAGTCGATAGTGAACTCACCCCCAACGTTGCAACGCCAACGGCACACGTACATGTAGACCTACACAGCATGCATGCGTTGTTGTAGCGACATTGTCATTGGTCTGATATCAGTGATCACCCTGTCTCACTCTCACAGTCTCAGTACTGACAGTAGCCTAGGTCTACAGTGTCTGTAATGTGCTAATGATGTAGATCTCGCATGTGAGAATGAGATCCTCGCGCCCCCTGTTTGTACAAGATCTACAGGTCCTTGTACCATGTGTAGATCTACCGGTACTTCGTAATCGTAGCATGGTACAGTGCGGGCAACTGAAATCCGACCCCTGAGCGGTGCGCTCACATCGCAAAGACATAACACGGGATAGTAAAACTACGAAAGAGAGACCACTACAGAATGTGAACGCATCGCTAAGGGGTCGGATTTCAGTTGCCAGCACTGTAGTCTGTAGTATTGAGGATCTACATAATGTACAATGAATGATTATGTCATCGCGTAGCGTGTACATAATATTGTAGAGCATACCGGTACCGCGTACCGGTAGATCTGCACGGCCAAGCAGAGTGTCGATCATGGCAATGTCAATGATTACTACGGGTAGATCTACCGGTATGCAGGTATGTGAGCGTGTAACTCAGTCTGTGCACATAATAGAGCAGATGCATCGATGGCGTTCCTGGTCTACGTGTCTGTAGCGATGTCACGCATTCAGTCCAGAGCAAAGTCTCTTGTCTCTATGAGTATGACTCTATAACTTCAAGTACTATTATTATAAACTTAGTTACTAAGTGCAGACATGGCTGGGGTGACACTCACAGTCAATGTAGAATACAATCATGCATTGTACACTGATATTGGCTGTGCAATTATTTTACAGTAAAGGAGGAACTGAATCCATACATCCTGTACACACACCTTGTACACACTCTCTCTAACGGTCTCTAGGGGCATGTTCGATTGGTAGGATCGGGATCCCGATCCACCGGATCCACTGGATTCGCACCCTTTCGATTGGTCGGATCCGGATCCGGATCCTTCGGATTTGGATCCGGTCAACCCTCCTCGGGGAGCAGGGTTGACCGGATCCAACGGATCCAAATGTGACCTTTGTGCGTATATGGCGGGTAAAAATCATTTTTGTACACATTGTGGTACGCACACGTGGATGGAGATAGAGCTTGTTGACTTTTTGTACGACGCACGGGATGAGTACGACGTTCACCCTTTTGGGTGCCTTGTGAGCGCCATTTTCAACATGGCAACAGTCAAGGTCCAAAATAAAGTGTTCAGTTGAATCTGAAGGATCCGAGGGATCTGAGATCTGGATCCCGATCCCGATCCTTACCAATCGAACATGCCCTAGGCTACACTGCAATTGATACATTAGATCAAATTTTCGGGCAAGGCCCATCATCAGGAATAAGTCTACTGTAGACAAATAATTTAATCATGACATTCTCTACTCGACTCCAGTCCCGTAACTGGGCCGTAAGACGATTGTTATGCAGCCTAGCCATGCATCATGAATTCATGCCTAGGCAGCAGCCATGCATACATGATTGTATGCATGTAGACGGACGGTGCTCAGGAAGGGTAGGATCAGGACTCAGGTCAGGTCAGGTCAGGTCAGGTCAGGAGTAATAGTAATAATACTAATAGAGCTCATGTCATGAGCTCAGCAGACTGTCAAGTAAGTATGTTCACTAGACACTACTGCTGACAGTGACACTAGCGTACGCGTATAGCATGCTAACAGTAACACGTTACATGTCACTCAGGAGTCTGGTCGTCTGGAGTCTCTGGACAGAGTTGCATTGCACGCAGCAGGCCAGCAGACTGAGCAGAGCCTTGACAGTCAATACAATCATGATTGTACTAGTACGAGTCTATGAGCACAGTATGTTGGAAAAATGGAAGTGACATTGACAGTCAGCAAGCCTGGATTCATTCCATTCCTGGTCATTCCTGGTCATTGAATCTATTTATATACATGTACATGACTGATTGATTGTACTATGAACACACAGCAATGTCTCAACCAAGTACTGAGTAGTAGTTTTCCACAGTCAGAGTTTCGTGTGAAACACTCATCACACAGCATGACCAAGACTAGCATTCACAAGAATATTATACGGAGGACTCAGGAGGATCCTGAGAAAAGAGGGCAGAGGTGTTGGAGGTACAACATTTCATTAGCGCGAGGAAAGGAGGTGGCAAAAATCAGCGTGATTGTAAAGAGAAAAAAAGATGTTACATACCAACGGGTTAAAACGTATAGAGCATAGGGTAGAGGAATAGTGCGATGCTCTACATGTAGCACACACACTACTCAGACTCTAATGCGCAAAATTACCTGGCAACACAGCAGTACAGGTTTGTGCTGCATTATCCCTGAGGACCTTTAGCTAGCGATTATGTAGAATCTGTTGTGTGTGGCATACATGTACATGTACCAGTACATTATGTACAAAGTCATGTAAAAATGTACATGTACATGTACATGTACATGTACATGTACATAATAAAACCCAATACTAGTTCCATCACTAGTATTAGATCTAACAATATGTACACGTACATACATGTACATGTACAGGTAATTACAAGCTAATACAGTAGTATGGTCAAGCAAGTATCTCCCCTCCTCCAACTTATTTTAAGCGCTTACCAAAGTGTGTGGCATCTTGCACCTGCATGATTGTGATTACAGGCAAGCCACATTATCATTATCATCCTTTCACACAGCCTTGCTTGCCTTCCTGCCATATCACATTTCTTTTTTTCACTCACGGACCATGTGAGTTTGGCACATTTTCCATCCAGGACTTTTTGCACCCACCAGACCTCAAACCTTCACAGATTCCTTCCTATGCTGCTGTATAAATACCATACTAGCTGTGCATCACCGTAATCAGTTGTCTGAAGATTGCTATATGGCATGAAACTTTAAGTTACGACAATCAAGACACGTGGTTTTCCTGTGACTCGTAGTACGGTTATATACATGTAAATGTACATGATTTTAGTCGTTTATGCCAAAATTAATAATTATGGCCTTCAGCGTACATGTACATGTACATGTACATTTAGAAAAGCGATCCTGTCAGCTTTTCTATTAATTAAAAAAGTATTATTGTGTTCTCATGGCGCTACCTAACGACACCGCTATTCAGACACTTAAGTCTTTGTCTACGTAGCTACATGTACGTAAGTTTCTACGTATGATGCTCGGTACCTGGTCCTGGACCAGAGAGCTACTCCATGGCTCCTCCCATCGCGCGGCCGGCTGGCCGCATGCGTGTGCATTGCAGACTTTTTGTTGTTGCCTTTTCGGATGTGCATGCACGAGGAACTTACTTCCTTCTTTGGAACTGCTTCTTGCATGAGCTGTTTCGGATATTTCGTCTCCTGGCCTGGCTTATTTCGTTTCGGCGCTGCTGAGACCTCCTTTCGCGGAATATTACTCAATGACAGGTGAGTTGACCAGTTCCCTTTGATTCATTTGCTTGTGTTGACTCTTTCATTTACGAAAAGTGTGCTGATTTTGGGCGGAATGCAATAAATAATGGAAAAGCTGACAGGATCTCCTTTCTAAATTTAGCTTTTCCGCTGCCGAGGCCTCCTTTCACGGAATACTCAATGACAGGTGATCTCTGAGTTGACCAGTTTCCTTCGATTCATTTGCTTATGCTCACCCTTCTATTTACGGAAACGTGTGCTGATTTTATTCGGATTTAGATCCATTTTTATCTCTTTGCCCTTGCTTACAGTGTGCGAAGAACGCGAGTCCACCTTCTTGACGGTAAGGCTCATGTTGCTGCTGAGGCTTAGATGTGTTGTCGAAGTACTCATGTTCATTGTACATTGGAAGTAAGGCACTGGTCAGTGACATACTAGATATGGCATGTTCTCTATTTCTTTCCTTGGCGCTGATAGGTGGAATTCTCTGCCTGTCTCGTGTCGTCAGGTTGAGCATCTATCCGTTTTTGTTTCGCTCTGTAAAGAGCACTTAGGGTTCCCTGTAACAAGACGGCAACGTCTGTAGGGCCTTCCCTATCAAAATAACGAGAGAGCTTGGAAGCTCAGGGCCCTACGCTATGCTTTTTTGCCTAGCTCATCGTACGTTGAAGTGATGGAAATGTTTTTTTCCGTTGATTGGCCACATGTCACACGCATCCATTGCTCAATCATGCAACATTCGGATTTTCTGGCGTTTTTGTAGCAATACATTAAGCTGTTGAGCCAATGAGGTAAGTCCATAGAATACGATACAATACAATAAAGAAATTAGTGTCCTTACGTTGATAGTGTGCTTGTGCTTAACTGCTGCTGACGGCCGAATGCATGGTTGCCTGTGGAGCTTTCAGCAACTTGGCTCTCCTGTACTAGGCATCCTGTCGATGCTTTCGTAATGCTAACATTATGCTCGGGATAGCACTCGCTAGTGATCTTCGGAAACTTGGCCTGAATATCACTCACAATACGATAAACCGCATCATTCTATTTCCTATTTTTATTTTTCTCCTCAGCTTCTTCTTCATAAGCTGTTGACGGAGACTCCCTCGATTTAGGCTAAGGCCTGTGGAGAATCCATAAACACATATACAGATACAGATTAAGTGGTCGTTGGTTGGTCCCACAATTTCATCATACTGTCGTACGACATGCTATACGACATCCTTCTACCGTACAACACCGTATCGATGTCTGGCGCTGTCGCCTTGTGTATTTACGGTGATAGCGAGAGGTACGGGATAGCGCTAGTCGGAGGTCCGTCTGCCACAACGAAACAGATAGATATACACCTTGATGATATGGGGGTTTCATAATTAAAGTTTTTAGCAAGATAGGTCACCGTTTGTCTGGTTATTCAGTTTTCAGATACTAACTAAGGTCTTTGTTCGTCATGGATTTACCTGCTCGCGAGGAGACCCTCACATTTCTAGAGCTGCGAAGATTCTGCAAAGTATGCTACGGTCATATTATGCTT